GGGTCGAGGGGAGCCAGTATCTGTGCAGGACGTCACAGCCCACAGAGTAATTGCGCACAGATCCGTCTTGATTAAGCTGTAGCCTGTTGACTGGTTCAGCTCAGAAAATGGAGAAAATGCAAAAATCGTAATTTTTTAGCGCTGTCTCTGAGGGGACACATGGCATGCAGGGGCCTCCTCGCATGTAGCGCTGTGCTCTGCCCCCACCCCCGCCAGCTTCTCACAGGCCTCACGTTGGGGGGGCCTTGGTGTTCTGGAAAAGTCCAGTCCCGGAGCTGTGTAACCAAGGGCCAGTGGCCTAACCTCTCTGAGCTTCTTCATCTTCGAAATGCAAACACCAGACTCTCCTTCCTGCACAGCCGTGTTATCTGAGCATAGACACCTGTGGGCCTGGCCACGACCCTCAGCCCTCGGGGCTGACCTCTCCAGGGGGCCTGGCCTCCCTCCAGCGCAGTATCTGCGTCTCTGCCTCAGGACGGATGTGCACCAGGCAGCGGAGGGCAGGTCTGCCTCACAGGAAATGTTGGGGAGTTAATGCCCCGGGAGCAGCCTCAGCCAGGGACGGATGGAGTTGGTGGCCACGTACCCCAGCTCCCTCTGCACCGGCTCCCAGAGAGCCCGCTAGGACTGGTGCCCACAGGGGTAATTCACCTGAAAACACAGTGTCTCACCTCCCCGCTCCACTGCTCATGTTTCCTGACATCTTTGCCCAAGCAAACTATTTGCACCCAGATCCTCCCCCCAGGGTCTGTATCTTACTCAGCTGGGGCTGCTATGACAAAGTACCACAGACTGGGTGGCTTATGAGCAACAGAAATTCATTCCTCTCAGTTCTGGAGCCTGGAGCACCGAGATCAGTGTGCCAGCAGGGTTGGGTTCTGGTGAGGACCCTCTTCCTGGCTTGCAGACGGCTGCCTTTTTGCCATGCACTCACCTGGCCTTTCCTAGATCCGTATCCATAGAGAGAGTGACTGCCTTTCTTAACAGGGCACTAATTCCACCCTGGGGGCCCCACCTTCATGCCCTCATCTAAATCTAATTGTTCCCACCTCCAAATACCATCCTGCTGGGGGTTAGGGCTTCAGCACATGAATTTTGGAGGGATACAACTTTTGATCTATAACTGTCTGCTTCTGGGGAAACCCACAATGAGACACCGTGAAGTAATATGGGTGAAGCACCTGGTACAACCTGGAACTTGGCAAGTGCTCAGGCAGCATCAGAGTCCCTTCCTGCCTCTGTGGGTGCCTGCTGCATTGTCTCACTGAATCCCAAAAAACAGCCTCAAGAGACAGTGTCCTAGGTTCCCTGTCAGCAGAGCCTGAGGTGCCTATAGGTGGGGTGGGGGTTAGGAAGGCGCAGGGGAAGGGGCTGAGCTGGAGTCCAGGCTCAGCCTGATCCCATGGGGGCTCTGGAGCGTGAATCACACTACAAGCTTGGTCCCACCTTGAGGCAAGAGGGTTGGTCTTGTGTCCTGAGCCAGGAGTCATTGGTGTGGCATTGGGGGCAGTTGCATAGCTTCCTGGCAGGATGACCACTGTGTGGCCGAGGGCAGTTCTGCGGAGGGGGCAGCTGTGCTACGTCGTCAGCTCTCTTGCACGGAGCAGGCCCAGGTGATCTGCTGGTGAAAGGGACCGGGCATTGCCTTCAGGTTGCTAATCCCTCTTTCGTGGAAGAACCGGAGGCTTAGGAGGTTTGAACACCTCGCCTGAGGCCACGTTCAGCTAGTGAGTGAGGCAGTCCCCGCGGACTGGCCACAGCCTGTGCTGCAGTCAGCAAGGTCCTTTGTGCCCTCCGGGATCTCTTTGTCCCCCATCCCTGCTTTTCTCATAACCCTGCATCCAGGGCGCTATGGAGACAGCCGCAAGGCAGCCACGGGACTGAAGGGGAGGTGACCTGAACTAAGCCTCGGTTTATTCATCGAGCCCAGTGTTCTCATGCAGATTAAAGGAGGCATAAAGCGTCCTCCGCACCCATCACGGTCTGTCCTATTTGCGGCGGTGGGACACGTGAAGGCATTCATCCTGCAGGTCACCTGGTACTGGAGGGGAAAATGTGGGGAGCTCAAGTTCTCATGAGAACGCTTTCCTCCCCCAACAGAACCTTCTGGAGATTCAGACCTATGTCAGCATCCTGCAGCAGATCATCCAGACCACCCCGCAAGCAGCCGCCGTAACCAGTGGCATGAGGGAGGTAAGAACGGGAGCCCAGGCGGCTGTGAAACCGCATGTGGGGATTTGTCCCGCAGCCCCGGGAGCCCAGAGACCCAGGGAGAGGCGTCAGGTCACCCCCCCTGCGGGTTCACATTCGAAGTTCACTCTTCTGCTCTTTCACTCAGACGGTGAACGTGGGTATTTAGACATCTGAGGACATAAACTGTGCCCCTGACTATCTTCTTAAGTATTTCCTCTTGAGGATTACGGGCTGTCCTTCCTTGTCTAGCTTATAAGAAACTTCCAGACTGTTTCCCAAGCACTGTAGCACTGCTGCATCCCCACTGGCAACGGATGGAAGTTTCTGTTGCTTTGCTTCCTTGTCAACGCTGGGTATGTCGGGTTTTTACTTTGGTTTTGCCCTTTGCTACTCTAATAGGTATGTTGTGTATCTCTCTGTGCTTTTAACTTGCATCCCCTCACGCCTTAACGATGTTGAGCATCTTTTCATGTGCTTATTTGCCATTTGTATAGCTTCTTTATTGGACTATCTACCCAAGACTTTTGCCCATATTTTTTTATTGGGTTGTTTGTTTTCTTATTCCCCTTATCAATTTGACCATAATTTTGAATACAGAGAACCTCAGACAATTAGTGACTCTATTTTCAAGGTCAGGCTCTGCTAGTCTGGGGCATGAAAACTCTTGGGAAAGGATAGAGGTGATTGAAGCCGATTTAAAAAAAAACTGGGATTTGGATGTAAAACCTTATTCCCAATATAATGTTCCAAATCCCTTCCTCACTTAGCTCGCTAGCAGGGCAACAGGATATTGATGCATTTTTTTCCCCTAATGTGGTTTATGGGATTTTGTGATGCGTGATATGCTATTGTAAAAATAAACTGAAAAGGATGCAGATTAAAACAAAAATGTCATGTGTCCTTTCTTCAGAGGAGTGTTACGCTGGGACAGGGTTTTGTAGACTGTTCAACCGAGAAGACTCTGGGTTTTTCTGCAAGGGTGACTTAGGACAGAAGTCTACCCAGGCCCACAACCTGGAGAACCAGTGGGCTAGGGTGTTTGTTTGAACCTAATTTTTAATATCAAAGCTAAAGAAATCCCCAAATTTGCTTTCAGAGACACTTTTGAACCCTGCCAAGTAACATCTAAGAGGCAGGAGAGTTACTTTTTTTGGCCTTGACGGGGATATTCTTGTCCACATTGCCCACCAATGACCCCAACTGAACTGGGGTTGCCACTAAGGCCTAAAAAACAACTTCTCCTAAAGCATAATTTTCTTTGTCAGAGACTTCTTTCCAGACACTTTAGTTCTGTTTTGCAGACATTTTTCCTTTAATTCATAGGTGTTTTACATCGGAGCACACTTTTAAAATCACGTCATCTGTTCCCTTGTAACCCTGTTTTTCTGAGTTGTACTAATGTAGAGCCGTCTAGACCTAGTTTGATAGTGTCAGTGATCATCAGAGACCCTCAGCATCGTTGCCCGGGAGCTTGAGACAAATGCCGCATCTGCAGCCCGACCCCCAGCAGACCCACTGTGTCGGAATCTGTATTTTAGCAAGATGCTCAGGGATTCGTGTGCACGTTAAAAAGCAGATTTAGAAAGAATCACATTCTTTATTAATCTCAGCTGGGAAATTCTACATACGAGCTAGGTGGTTGCTTTCAGGTTTGCTCCTTTGACTCTTGTTACTGTCCTAGAAAATGCCAGTTGAGTTTGCACAAAGGATATAATTAGCATTGCTTCCTAGGAGCCTGGGGTTAATGTGTCCATAAAGCATAAAGTCAGTGTCCTGTAGCCAGAAGTCCCTAGGGCCACCTCTGTGGTCAAATCAAGCTGGGTTTATTACTCCCCACAGGAGGGGAGGGTATACGCCGTGGATGGGGACCTGCGCTGGTCTGGGTACTGTTGGGGGGTGGGGGGCTGGTCTTATGGCTGAATATCCCCCTATTTTGTACCTTGGAGGCCAAGGTATGGGGTGAGGCTAAGGCCGTGCTTGGTAACTAAGCACCATCACTTGAGTTAGTGGTCATTTCTGTGGTTACACGGTGATTGCTTGGTCTGAGTTCAGACACAGTTGCAGAGCCGGTCTTGTTTCTGTCTTGTTCCCCTGGGATCCCAGAGTGACATCTTTAGGTGTTGAGGTGGCATCGTCTGTAAATTTATAAGGAGGGAGCATCATGCTGGGGGGTGTTGGTTAGTGCCGGCTTCCAGCTGACAGCTGCCGGCTGTCTTCCTTCCTCTACAGTAAGTATCCAAGGGCCTTCTGTGCGCGAGGCACTGTGGGAGCACCTGTGGGTGGACATGGGGAGGATGTAGTATAAGTAGGAGCTGGGCGGTGAGGAGAGGCGGGGCCAGACAAGCAGGCTGGGCCCTGGCGGGGAGGTGGGTGAGGGATTTGCACCGTGTCTGTGTCCATGCTGAGGCTGCAGGTCTTGGCTGGCATGTTTGCACATCCTCCACGTAGTGGTACCCAGAACGTGAGTCCCCTCTGCTCCCAGCTGTCCCCACGTCTGTGTCTTTGGGGCAGGGAGGCGGGAGCCGAGGCACAGAGAAGCAGGGAGGACAGAGAGAGAGAGAAACAGACTGACAGACAGGGAGAGAGACACACACAGAGAGACTGAGAGAATGCACGTCTCCACTGGGAGACTCAGAAATAGACACACCATCCTTAGGCAGCTCTGTCCCCAGGCCCACTCCTCCTCCCTCGCTCTCAGCTTCTCTGTGTCTCGTTGCTCCGGCCACTTTGCAGGCGGCTGCAGAGCAGGGGCACCTTCAGTGGGTGGCCGTGAACGTGCTGGGCTGTGACTCTGCCCGGCAGGGGGCGGGGGGGGGTGTCTCTGTGTCAGAAGGTGCTGCTCTAGAGAGGCCAGGCTCTCAGGAAGGGGTTTAGATGTTTCTGAATAATGTGGAGAGGCTGGTGGGAAAAGGGCAGCTGCTCTGCAGAGTGTGGAGAGGTTGAGGGTGGACCTCCTTCCAGAACATTCGGGGAGCACCGACAGGGCTTCCACTGTCGCCATGGCCCCTGCTGTGTGCTGTGGGGACGGCTCAGCACAGTTGGTGGCTCTGGCTCAGGGCTCAGACTTAGAAAACAAAGTGAAAAGGCGGTGAGTGGCCATGGTGGGCCTGCCTGAGTCAGCTTGGCTGCTGTGACAAAATACCTTAGACCAGGTGGCTCAACCAACAGACACTTATTGCTTACAGTTCTGGAGGCTGGAAGTCCAAGGTCAGGGGGCTGGCAGATTTGGCCCCTGGGGAGAACCCCATCCCGGCTGGTAGATGCCACCCCTCTCTCTGTCCTTTCCTTCCTGCCCGCATGGAAGAGGGGGCCCTGGTGTCTCGTCCTCTTCTAATAAGGACACTAATCCCATCGTGGGGGCCCCACCCTCATGACCTCATCTAAACCAACCCTCCTGCCAAAGGTCCCACCTCCAGATGCCATGCATTGGGGGTTAGGGCCTCAGCCTGTGAACTTGGGGGGACGTAAACATGCAGAACACAGCGGCCCCTCTCCTCCGAGTGTGAGCGTGCTGAGTCTGGCTTCTTTGTGCAGGCGAAGCTCTTGATGGAAAGGGAGGTGGCCACCCTGCAGAGCCAGCTGGAGGACGGCCAAGAGGTGCTCTGCCTCCTGCAGGCCCAGAGAGCCGAGCTGCAGGCCCAGGTATGCCCGCCCCTCCTGTCTGCTCCTCTCATTCAGGTGTCACGGGCCTGCACAGGTGAGCACTCATGCATCTAGTGCTGTGAATTCTACAGACTCAACACACCTGTGTCCTCAACCCTCAGAGCCGCAAACAGCATCCCCAGTGGGGTGACCAGCCGTCCACTTCCCAGGACGCCTTCCTGCCCAGACTGGAAAAGCCCTGGGCCAACGGGGGCAGTGGGTCCCACAAATTCGTGGTCCCCGGAGGTCCCCCGCAGGCCCCCTTTGAGTCGCTGCCCCTCCCCCACCGAGGGTAAGCTATCCCCACTTCTGCATAACCGATCTGTTTTGCCCAGTTTAACCTTCTTTTTGAAAATAAGAAATGGACATACGTTGAGGGTTTTTACCCTACGCTCGCACGAGTCTGTGCTTCCTGTTTCTCTTCTCATGACCTAAACTCTCTCCTTTGGAATTTGACTGCAGCCCTGGAGAGAGGGGTTGTGCTGCGATTTGCTCCTGCTCAGAATTTGTCAGCGGAAACTTTGCATTTGCACCCCACCCCTTTTCTTTTTTCGGTGAAGCTTAGTTTGCAAACGAGCAGAAAAGCTTTTTGCAAACTTTGCAGGAAAGCGCAGTCCTGTCTCTGTGGCCTTCTTTTGCGGTTAATGAGCTTCATGGGTCACCCCACCCCCGCCAACCCTGTGATTCCTCCAGTTTTCTTCCTCTCATTACTGTACACCGGGCCATTCTGATGGGGACGTCGGGTTAGAATACGCTTCTTATGCTGTGTAACCACATTTCCCAAATCCAAAAGTAAGTTGACGTTCGGTTTGACAAGTACACATAAGGGACAAGGGAACAAAAATTTAAAAATCTGCCCCTCTAGAAAACCTAGACCATTAAAGGCTATATGTTACTTTGTCTCTATCCCACCAATGCCTGACAAGATCAAACCCTGCTGAAGCCACATGAGATGTGGTGCTTTTGGTGGGTACACGGTGTCCTCCAGATCTCAGGACTTGAGTCCAGAATCCTGATTCCTGCCCCACCCGCCACCCGGCCCCTCCCTGTGCAGCAACTCAGGGGCCACGGAGAGCAAACGGGGGCCTGGGGATGGTCCCCCAAGGCAAAGACCCCAGCTCAGGAAGGCGAGTACTGCCCTTAAAACACGTCCTGCTCTTGTTGACAAACCACAGCTTGGGGACCAGATGCACCGTTTTGGTCACTTGGTGAGTGTGTGGTTTCCTCTGAGGCCCTGAGAGGATGGAGGGAGGGTCAGGGTGTGTGTGTGTGTGATGTGTGTGCACGTTTTTATATGTGTGCATGTGTGCACGTGTGTATATGTGTGTGTATGCGTGTATGTGTGTGTGTGTATATTTGTGTTTGTGTATGTAAGTGTATGCGTGTGTGTAAGTAACCGTATGTGTGTACGTGTGTAATGTGTGTGCATGTTTTTATATGTGTGCATGTAAGTATATGTGTGTATGTGTGTGTATGTGTGTGTGTACGTGTGTGTGTGTGAATGAGTGTTTGGATGCACGCCCAGTCACGGTTCTAGACACCAGTGTTTTCCAAACCACCAGTTATAACTCATTACTGGGTTGTAAAATGAACTCAGCCGAATCGACTGTCTTGAGAAAAGAAGGAATTCACAGCACTAGCCTAAGACCGAAGAGGAAATGACAGGGTGCGTGGCGAGTAGAGGCAGGATTTATTTTGTGAAACCTTCGTTTTAAATATATCTGTATGTGTGTTTAAGTGTATAGATTTGTGCAAATACACACATGTACTTATATCTTTGCATGATGTCTATGGTTTGTGATGTAAAATGTAGCTCTTCCAGTGGCCATGGTGATGAGGTTGAAAACCTCTGCCCGAGAGACTGAGAAGGGCCCCAGTCTCCTCAGGAGATGAGGGAGCCCAGCCTGATGTGGTGGGCACATCCGGTGAAGTCCGGTTCCAGGGCGAAAAGAATGCTTGTCTCTCTGTGAACTCATATGCATTTATTGACTATAAAAGTAAGATGTTTCATAAAGGATTAGCCTAGTTTCTGAGAATATGAGATAAAGCTCTCTGCTTGGGCGCCTGTCCCCACCCGTAGCTGCTGCAGAAAGACTGGCTTGTCTAACTCTGAGGTCGTTGTCTCTCTAACTGGGGGGGGGGGGGCTTCACTGTCTCTTCTGTGCCATTCCCCCCGCCAATCCCCTGCCCAGCAGTCTGGTGAAGCCCCTGGACCCTTTCTGAGAAAAATGTTTAAGGCAAATAGCTTCTGTCAGAGGTTTAGGACTACGGGAGGCTTAAGCTAAAGAGGCTTCTTTATTGTGCTTTGGTTCTGCCCTTGTTTTTTGAAGGTTCTCATTTATACCTGGGGTATCAGAAGAAACATTTCAACAAAGTGTCTTATTGGAAATTAATAGCCCCAGCCATCATCTGATGGCTTTATCTCTTATCCCATTCATAATTAAAAGTTACTAATTTGAAATTTTCTATGTTTATTTTACATTCAGAGTCTTTGGTAAAGTCAAGGATGACTGAAATAATTCCAGAGGAGCTCTGTTGGAGTAGCTGTAGAGAAATGCATTTGCACTAATGTGGTATAAAACTGTAATAAAACAGAAATTTCATGTATTTGCCAAAATTCTGAGTTTGTAAAATGACCTTCATTTCTTTGGCATCACATACTTACATTAATAATAGTAAAATAAGATATTGACATTTTCCATTAAAAAAAAAAGAAAAATGTCAAAGGCATAAAGTACATAGAATTAAAAGGAAACCAATTATATTGAAACAAAATAGTATCTGCCGAATTAGTTATCAAAATATTGCCAAAGCATCTTCTCTATGATAATATATGTGCTTATAGTAAATAAAACCTAGCAGGGGGTCTGATGAAACATGAGTCATATTAGTTTTCTCTTGCGGCCATAATAAATTTTCACAAAGGTCAGGGCCTAAAACAGTGCTTCCTTGTGATCTTACGGTTCTGCAGGTTAGAAGTCGGGGCAGGCTTGGCTGGTTTCTCTGCTCTGGGGCTCACAGCCCTGAAATGAAGGTGTCGGCCGGCCTGGGTCCCCCGTATCTGGAGGTTCTTGTTGGGTGGTGGGCCGAATCTGCTTCCTGTCCCATTCCTGTCATTGGCAGAATTCCCTTCTGTGTGCCGCTGGGACCAAGGACCCTATTTCTTTGCTAGCTGTCGGCCAGGATTTACTCCAGACGCCGTCCACCTTCCTTGGCATGTGGCCCCTCCATCTTCAAGGACAGCAATGGTGCTTCAAATCTTTCTCGTGCATCTGATCTCCCTGATTTCTGTTCTTAAGGGCCTGTGGAATTAGGAATAATCTAGAATAATCTCCCTGTTTTTTAAGGTCAGCTGAGTAAGAAGTCCCTTTGCCAAGTAACATAATATATTCATGGGCATACAGCTAAGGGGCAAAGGTCATGGGGCCGAAAGTCTGCCTCATTAGCTTGAATCAAAACACGCACGTGGCAGGACCCACCTGAGAGCTTCTGACTCAGTGGGTCTGGGGTGTGGCCCAAGAATTTTTATTTCTAAATTCCAGATGCTGTTGCTGGTCGAGGAACCACACTTTGAGAACATTGATGTAGGGGTGGGTTCCATGTTGGGCCAGAATATTCTACATCTCAGGCACCCGGGTTCCTGGCTCGGGCCCTCCATAGCCTTATTCGTGAGATGTTCACGGCTGGCTTTTTGTTGATTTTAAAAGGCTGTTGTGACTTCCCAGTGGAGTAGCTGAGCTGAGCGTTCCAGGGGAGACTCGTCAGCCTAGCCCCTCAGCAGGGCCAGGGCCATGACTGGGGACGTGATGGGGGTCAGGGGAGGGGGAGCTCCTTGCAGCCTGAGGGCTCCAGCCGGCAGGGCTGTGGCAGCTGGTTCTGCCTATGGTTAGGGCATCTGATGCTTCTGGAACCCTCCGTCGCAGGGTCCTCTGGGGGAGGTCCCTGAACCAGCAGCATCAGTGTCAGCATCACCTGGGGCTTGTCAGAAATGCTCGTTCACGGGCCCGTCCCAGATCTACGGAACCAGGAACTCCGGAGGGCCCAGCATCTCGTTTAACAAGCCCTCCAGGTGGCTCTGCAGGCTCAAGTTTGAGAACGTTGGTCCACAGGTTGCCCAGGACCGCACCCACGATTGGAGCTGAATGTGGACCACACACGAGACCCCTGGGGATGGCACTTCTTCCAGGCGGATGAGAAGGGACAGGCGTTCTGGTTCTCTAAATTGCATCTGCTGAGAGTTTCTGTGACAGGAAAGTGAAAAAAGTCAGATTATTGGGAAAGTATACTCCTCCCAGGTGTCATTTCTCAGTAAAGTCCCTTAGCACCACCTGGTGGTACGTTTTGGTAAGACAGCGTGTAATCGGCGAAGGACACTTGATTTCTTTTTCCTTTTTGAAATGACCTTGGATCCAAAGGAGTCTGGGCGCCTAAAGGGACTGAGGCAGGAGGTCACCTCTCCAGATGCGCTCGCTGTGAGGCACTGGCCCGGGTCCCTGAGGACCATGCTGTGCAGAGGCAAGCCCTGCAGCTGTGCTGAAACACATCTTTCAGCCGTTTCTGGCCAGCCCCACGCGAGGTCCGGGGAACACTGAGCAGAGCCTGGCCTGGCTCCTGCTCCCGCTGTCCAAGCCTGGTGGGGAGACGGCTATCAGCCGGATCTAAGCGGTCCAAGCGGAAACACACGGTCGCCTAGCTCAAGATGAAGTTCCGGCTGCCTAGAGGCCCACACCTTCCACCTGCCTCTTTCCACCCGCCAGGGCTGTCCGTGGGCTGCTTTCTCCCCCTCTCCTCTCTGGATCCCTCCTGTGGATCCTGGCACCAGCGCCTCTGCTCCCCACTTCTCTCTCTGCGAGTGGCTTTGCTTCTGCAGCACCTGGACCGGCCCCACCTCCTCCTGGAAGACTTCTGTGATGTCCCCAGCACCCTGGGCCTCTCTGTGGGCTCTGTGACACCTTGGGCTTTGTTCCTGTGATCGAGCCGCCTCCCCCTCTGGGCTGTGGCTCCTGGAATGAGGGTTTCTTTCTCCCACAGTCAGGCTGGGGCTGGACGGCCTCTGAAGCCCGTGCCGAGATCACTCCCATCAGAGACGTTGCATTAGCCCCCTTTGAGCTGCTGCAAGTGGGGCTTTTATTGGTTTTCCTGAACACCCCGCCCTCTGATGAATGGTTTAAATTATTGAGCTATAACACCAGGTGCTGCGGGCACAGCCCTTTCCTGCTCATGTGGGAGAAAGCTAAGCTTTGATGAAAGGCAGCTGTGATCAGCTTTCATGCCTTCCTGCTGCCCGGTTGACACTGGGATCCCTGGACCCCAGCCATGCCAGCCTGTGACCCGCAGGCTTCGTTCTCAGGACTGCTCCGTGGAAATGGAGAGTCTTACGTGGGGATTCATCCACTCCGGATGGCTTCTTGTCTCTGAGATTTGAGCCTCAAAGGGGTCCTTTAAATTCCTTACTTCATGGAAGCATTTCCTAGAGTGTGTGAACACTGGTGTGGGTAAGAGCATGTGGCCACACCAAGAATCAGAGGCTGTGCCTCAGTATTTGACATCCCAGGAGACTGTTTGAATGGAGATGCTTTTAAATGAGGAACAGAAACCTGGTCAAACTCGCTTGGTTTATTTTGAAATAATTTTAGACTTCTAAGAAGCTGCAAAAATAGCCCAGAGGTTTCCCGTACTCTCCACCCAGTTCCCTCAAAGTCAACGTCTTAATAGCACGGCACCAAGATTGGAACCAGGACATTGTCGAGCACGCCATCCTGGTAACAGATTTGCCTGAAATCTCACCTGTTACCCTGCTCACGTGTTTTCTGGTCCTGGATCCTGCTTGCATTCAGCTGTCCTGTCTCCTCAGCCTCCTCCAATCTGGGACAGTTCCTGCCCATCTCTGTTTCTCATGACCTTGATGGCCAGTCCTCCTGTGGGACGTCCCCCCATCTGGACTTCCCTGATGCTTTCTCGGGGCTGAGCTGAGGCTCTGCGTTTGCGGCAGGAACACGACAGAAGTGATGGGTCCTCGGTGCCTCTCACCAGGAGCACCATGTGGCTGTGTCTTTGTACTGGGGGTGAGACTTGGGTCACCTGGGGTGGTGTCTCCAGCTTTCTCGACTGTGAAGATATTTTCCCCCAAAGGAGCAAGATATAAAGGGGCTGATGACCTTTGGGAACAGGGCGGGCGGCGGGAGCTTCTCACTCTCCCGGATTCCCTCTTTTCTCTCTTTTGCCGGCTCTCTCATCTCTGTTGCCTTTGCCTTTTGGCTTCATGTCTCTGTCTTTCTGAAGAATTGCCTTTCTCAGTTTCTCCACGCACTTTATGAAAGATTGTTTCTCCAGGGTGGTGGCTTCAGACCCCGGGCTTACGTGTCCCAGTGAGTCTAGAACCTACCACCAAGTCACTGCTATTCCTGAGATCCCTTCCCAGATGCCCGGAGAGGAAGCACGTGACAGGCCAGCCTGAGTCCTGGTTCTGCGGCTCTGGTCAGGGGAGTGTGGTCACACTGCTGCCCGGACACTTCCTACGTGTGAGATGGGACAGTCTTCAGACATGGGGACGACACAGGCCAGTGGACGGCTTCCCAGAGTGTCTAGTGCATGTACCTCTCCCTCTGTTCCTTCCTTCCTTCCTCCCTTCCTCCCTCCTTCCCTTCCTCCCCCCCTTCCTGATGCAACAGATCCATTCCTGACAACCTTTGTTGGCTGAGTCTGCCGGTGTCCTCACTAGGGACGTCACTGTTCCACGGCCACATCTGTACATAAAGTGAGGAATCAGGCTGTTGCAGGGATAATCACCCTCTACATGTCCAATGTGCTCGTTTAGCTGCATGTGTGAGGCATCTTGTGGTGGACATACGTGAGGTTGGATTCAGATACCTGTCTAGTCCCCCGTGACTCAAAAAGTGTGACCCGGAGACCAGAGCCATGGGCATCGAGTGGGAGCCGCTTAGAAATGCAGCCCTCCCGGGCTTCCCTGGTGGTGCAGTGGTTAAGAATCCGCCTGTCAATGCAGGGGACACGGGTTCGAGCCCTGGTCCGGGAAGATCCCACATGCCACAGAGCAACTAAGCCCGTGTGCTTACAACCACTGAGCCTGCGCTCTAAAGCCCGCAAGCCACAACTACTGAGCCCGTGAGCCACAACTACTGAAGCCCAGGTGCCTAGAACCTGTGCTCTGCAACAAGAGAAGCCACCGCAATGAGAAGCCTGCGCACCGCAAGGAAGAGTAACCCCCGCTCGCCGCAATTAGAGAAAGCCCGCGCGCAGCAACAAAGACCCAACGCAGCCAAAAAAAGAAAAAGAAGTAACTATCCTTTAAGAAAAAAAGAAAAGAAAAGAAATGCAGCCCCTCCGGCCCCACCGGACCTGCTGAGTCAGAATCTGAGCTAAACAGTATCCTTGGGGGGTTCAGATGCACGAAGAAGTTTGAGAACTCTTCCAGGAGAAGTGGGTTTGGTTTGCTTGTTCTATTTTGCTTTTGAGAACCGGCCATGCCTGTTAGATCTCTTCTCTTTGGGAAAATGAGGTTGTACTAAGCTTGTAAATCAGTACGCTGTGGCCCTTTAGGGGTTGCCACAGCTCTGACAGTGGATATGAGGCCACCTCTTTTTATTTTCCTACCTTAATTTTGATTTGTCCTGCATTAGTAGGTAATTAATGTTTCCCTGAAGTTATTTTATTTATACACATGTGCGAGTGTGCACAAACACACACACACCCTTTAGCTACCAAAACATATATGTAACTCTACTGATCAGAAATGAGAAAATTAAAGTGCCATAGTGATTGAATAAAATCAAGGACGCTTCCTCCCTTAATTATTTCAGTAAAAATAGCATCTTATCTATTTAGTATATGTTCTTCTTTTTACTAATTTTTCAGCTGTCAGATTTATGCTAACTCAGTAAATTATGAAGAATGTACTTTGTTTGAGTTGCACATGTTATTCCATGGACGGCAGTTTTCGTTTCAGTTTCTGGGGTTGTCACCTTCCCACTGCCTTTGCGGGGTGGAGACTCTGCTAGGGCGGATTTCCAAGGGTGCTGATGCAAGCGTAAGGAGAAGGGGTTCACATCCCTCTGTGGCTTAAGGATTCCCTGCTGACAGAGAAACAGAGAAACAAACCCACAGAACAAATAAAACTGGATATGCCGCGTCCAGGGTATCCCTGCCGGGTCTGTGTCTTAAGCGAGAGGGTGGGCTGGGTTTCCTTACAGCTGTGTCTTTGCCCACAGACGGCGGCCCTAGAACAGGCCATCAGAGATGCCCACGAGTGCTATGATGAAGAGATTCAGCTCTACAACGAGCAGATTGACACCCTGCGGAAGGAGATTGAGGAGGCTGAGAGGAGCCTGGAGAGGTCATCCTACGACTGCCGGCAGCTGGTGGTCGCCCAGCAGACCCTGAGGAATGAGCTGGACCGGTATCACCGGATCATCGAGAACGAAGGCAACAGGTGGGGTCAGGGGTGCGCAGAGCCCGTGGGCACAGCGCCAACCTCTCTGGCTGGCCACTTACTTGTTCCACAGATCTTTGCTGAGTGTCTCCTGTGTTACTGTTCTAGGCAGTGGGGATGTGGCCAGGAAGGGAACCCCCAAATCTGTGACCTCACAGAGCTTGAATATTAGCCGGGGAGACAGGATGAGTGGGTTTGTAGCAGAGGGCGTGTGGCCTGTGACCTGTGCTCTGGAGTGAATCGCAGCAGGGAGAGGGGAGAGGAGGCGAGGGTGACGGGGGAAGTGTTTGAATGTCAAGCAGGGGGTCAGAAAGCCCCCACGGAGAAGGCTCCCTTCAGCTCACAGGCCTCTGGGGACATGAGTGTCTTAACAGAGAGGATGATCAGGCGTGGTTACTGAGGTGCTGCCAGTGAGGGGCCTGCACGGTACCTGGAGCTCAACCAGCGCTCAGTGTAGGTGTTATTACTGCTGCTGCCGTCGTGACTCTGACCACCTGGTTGGGTCAGTAATGTGGCTGTCGACAGGCCGTCTGGTCTCCTCCACGTAATGGAACTTTGACTTGAACGCCACTGGGAAGTAGATCTCTGTCTCCATCTCATCATTCACAGCTGCACCGGCATCGTCTAATGTCCATTTTCTAGATGTATTAATACATCTATATAGGGGCTTCCCTGGTGGCACAGCGGTTAAGAATCCGCCTGCCAAAGCAGGGGGCATGGGTTTGATCCCTGGTCTGGGAAGATCCCACACGCTGCAGAGCAACTAAGCCCATGAGCCACAACTACTGAGCCCGCGTGCCACAACTGCTGAAGCCCGCGTGCCTAGAGCCTGTGCTCCACAGCAAGAGAAGCCACCACAGTGAGAAGCCCGCGCACTGCAACGAAGAGTAGCCCCCGCTCGCCGCAACTAGAGAAGGGCCACACGCAGCAACAAAGACCCAACACAGCCAAAAATAAATAAATAAATGTATTAAAAAAATACATCTACATCAACTATGTCTACACCCATACCTACCTACACGTACATCTACATTATCTGTACCCATATCTACATCATTTACATCTGTGTCACCTACACATACACTTATATCTACATTATCTATAGCTACACCTACATCTTTATCACCTAAATCTACACCTACACCTATACTTCAACTATACCTAAGTCATCTGTATCTACATCATCACGTACATGCACATCTACAACGATGTCTCCATTATTTATAGCCACACCTACACCTACATCTATGGCTACATCAATGTCTGTATCTGTAGATATTCAGAGAACAGATTGAGGCCAGCCCCCTCCTATATGGACGCTGAATCTCTATTAAGTTGAGGTTCTTCAATTCAGTCTTGCTGATTTTGGGGGGTTTAGATTGGGTTAAAAGAGAAGCACCCAGACACAAGAGCACTTCCTTCCCTCTCGCTGGGGCTCTGTCTTGGCTGTGAGTGCTCTAATGTGTAGGAGGAAAAGCGAGACTTTCTTTTGTTTTCTCTAGTTCTGGTCAACGTATTGTGCTGAACTCTATATTTATGTCACAGTGAATGCTTCATGCACACATACAAAAATAAGTCTTGAACGGGTATTTAAGCGTCCTTGTGAAAATTTTTGTTTTGGAGGCAGGGCTTCATCAAAAGGTAACTGGATACCCCTTTTGTTGGTTTATATGTAACTCTTAATTTTGATATAATTTCAAATTGATAGAAATGTTGCAGGCACAGAACAAGGAAATTCTGAATCCTCTTAGATTCACCAGCTATTTATGTTTTGTCTCAATTGCTTTATCTTTCCGCTGTCTCTGATTATATATAACTATTTTTTTAAAAACACCAGTTGGGGCTTCCCTGGTGGCGCAGTGGTTGAGAGTCCTCCTGCCAATGCAGGGGACACAGGCTCGTGCCCCGGTCCGGGAAGATCCCACATGCTGCGGAGCGGCTGGGCCCGTGAGCCATGGCCGCTGAGCCTGCGCGTCTGGAGCCTGTGCCCCGCAACGGGAGAGGCCACAACAGTGAGAGGCCCCCGTACCGCAAAAAAAAAAAAAAAAAAAAAAGACCAGTTGGACATATTATACCCTGGTTGCCCTAAATACTTCAGCCTGGGCCGGCCATTCTCTTATTTAAAAAAACCTCCAAAACAAAAGAATTACAATTTTTTTTATAAGTGTGTTTCACAGCTTTGACTTGAGCTCAAAGAGATGATTATTCCTTTCCGTTGTCCTCCAGTGTGTACATGTGTTTGTGGTTCATGAGCAGTTGAATCTGGAGAAAGCCTTTTTCATTTTTGCTGGACGTTAGAGCATCCCTCTTGCCCGCCCCCCATCTGTTTGGCTCAGTGAATTAAAGCTGGAGATCACCCTCTTTCTGGTTCTTTTTGCCAGGCTGAGCTCCGCCTTCATTGAAACTCCGATCACTCTGTACACCGTGAGCCACGGAGCCTCCCTCAGCCCTCGACACGGTGTGAAAGGTGAGTCCCCAACCCTGGCTTCTGCGACTTTCTGTCCTGGGAAAAAGGAAAAATCAAGCGGCTTTCTCCCTAAACTTAGCATTCATACTCCCCGTCCATCTGGAAATTCAGTGCTTTTATGTGAGGTCCCTTCTCTCCCTCACTGATGTCCTCCAACAGGTGCTGAGTGACTGAGTCAAAAAGTTTACAAGGAGAAAATCAGATGGGGGTTAGGTCCCCTCAGGAACGCCGTCCGTGAACATGAGGCATTTAACTGGGGAGAAAAAATGCAGCTCAACATTTACTTGGGCAAGAAGTGAATACTGAATTGTATCTATTCACTGCACCCCCCGCCCCCCCCCACCCAGTGAAATGAACTCTTTTATGCAGAGGTGCTTGATCTAGTGTCAGGAGCAGAGTAGATGCTCAATTTTTGTTCGTTCTCTCTCCCATTCAAAACTGAGCAGAAATAGCTTGGGCAAGCGCAGCTTCTGCCTTCAACATGTGGTCCTTTGAGGATGGTTTCACGCGCCTGTGAGATGTCAGCTCACAGCTCAGTCTCCCCAGTCCTGAAGGAACAGAACAGCGCCTGGGAGAAGAGAAGCCTGTGCTTACGGTGCCTTCAAATCCAGGGGTCTCAGAAAGCTCAGAGGGCTTTGCAGAGATGGGGTGCCAGAGTCAGAACGTTGCTGCCAGGGGCAGGGGTCCCCAGACACCCAGGGCCAGCTCCAGGGGCGGGTGGCTGTGTGCAGGGTGCTGGGCTTGATGCTGTGCGGTCGCTGTCTGGACATTCTTCACAGTTTTGATTAGCGGGCCCTGAAATTTGGCAGCTGGTCCTGCAAGTAAGCCCTTCTCCACGCCTGCTCCCAGCCACCTGCTTTGTGGTGTCCCCACTGCGTCCCCCCCATCATGGCTTCACGGCCTGCTCACTCTGCCCTGTCACTGAGGGTCAGCCCCACGGGAGGCCCCTGCTCTGTGCAACTGAGTCCTCTGGTTAGCGAAGGGAGGGAGGGGCTGGAGAAGACTTCAGGATGAAAAAGTTTAAAAATCACTGTGAGTAAAGCTGGAAAGCCTCCTGGGTGAGGCAGGGTGAGATTTTGTGTTACACTTTCAGTTTTTCCTCTTAGCTGATCTGAGGAAGTGAATATGGCCTCGGGCACAGGCGATTCCTGTTCTGAGTTTGAGAGCATCACTTCCTCTTATTGCCCAGGAGGAAGGGGACGCTGAGCAAGGGGTGTCTGTGTTCATCTGGCCTGGGTTGCGAGCGGGACAAGGGAGCTACTCCCCATGGCCGAGGCCATTCCGAACCCGTCAGAGGCCCAGGCAGCTCTGCCTTGCTCCTTCGGGGAAGCCTGAGGCGAGAGTGCCCTGTGGACTGGGTTTCCACTGTCTGCTCTGTGGATCCCAGTGTCCCCTGTGAACTCGGGGGGCAGGGGGCTTGGTGGGCACTGGAGCCCTGCTCCCACAGAGTGTTACTGCAGGAGGATCACGGATCTCAGTCGGTTGTACCCAGTGTGATGGGAACTGTGGGCACCTCCCTCCCCTCTGCAAGCCCAGAGGGGCCAAGTGACTTGTCCAAAGTCACACAGTGACCAGCAGAGCTGGGTCCTCAGTGTGGGCTGTGGATGCTTCAGACCCAGGGATCTTTCCCTGTTGTTTTTGATCATACGTAGTAAACCCCACCCCAGCGCTAGACAGGGGGCTCCAAGATAATTAGTGTATTTTTCAACAAATATATTTTCTTCCTCTTTCATTGGTGATGATATTGCCTCATTGTCCTTTTTTGTTTTTTTTTAAAGATCTCGCCAGGGCTGTGCAGGATATAACAATAGCAAAACCAAGACAAAAAGGCCTCCCCAAGAACGTTCCAAGGAAAAAGGAGATTATAGCGAAAGACAAAGCCGATGCAAGTCTGGAAGAGGCACCACTGAGAGGTCCTGAAGACCCGAAGCCAGGGCAGGTGGTACTTAAAGAAGAGGGTGAATCTAAGCTTGAATCAGGGGATGGAGAAGCAAGTCCCCCGACCATGGACGGGGCTCCGGAGGATGTCCCAGACGGAGGGAAGATAAGCAAAGCCTTTGAAAAACTAGGCAAGATGGTCAAGGAGAGGGTGAAAGGCCCCAAAGAACCCGAGCCCCCCGCTGACCTGTACACCAAGGGGCGGTATGTGCTGGTCTCCGGAGATGCCAATTTCGTGGACCCAGGCTTCTGTTCCTTCTCCGTCCCGGCCAAAGGGGGCGTGGTGGTTTCCAAGGGGGACGACTCTGTGGCGCCTGACAGCCACGTGGAGCCCTCTCCCCAGCAGCCAGAGCCCCCTCTGGAGGACGGAGAGGGGCCTCTCCAGGGGAAAGATGGTCTGGAGGATGGACAGGGGCCTCCCCAGGGCAAAGAAGATGGTCTGGAGGACGGAGAGGGGCCTCCCCAGGGGAAAGATGGTCTGGAGGATGGACAGGGGCCTCCCCAGGGGAAAGAAGATGGTCTGGAGGATGGACAAGGGCCTCCCCAGGAGAAAGAAGATGGACACCCCTCTACCCCGCACACTGTAGACAAGGGGGATGAGATGAATGCCGAAGAACTGAAGGGCCCCCAGTGGAAACAGAATGGCCAGAAGGAGGAGGAGGGGGCCAGGGAGCCCTGTGTCACAGTCTCTCCTGGTCCAGAGGGGCCGTCTACACCCCAGTCTCAAGGGCCTCAGGTCACTCAGGGTGGGTCCGACGGGCCTGGAGCTTGGAGCAGCAGCCTGCCGGCGAGAAGCCCTCCCAGGACGCTGGCCTATGAGAAGGTGGAGGTGATGGAATCTATTGAGAAGTTCTCCACCGACAGCATCCAGACATACGAAGAGACTGCTGTAATCGTGGAGACCGTGATCGAAAACACGAAGGCAAACAAGGAGAAGCTGGAGGAGAAGTGCTCTTCCAATGCCTAGGCTCGAGGGGAGAAAGCGCCTTTGGGCCACTGTTGGGAAGTGCTTTGATATTTTAGGACAAACCATACAAGACTGAGGGTTCTTGTTTGGATTAGACCATAGTTGGCCTGTCTGGCTTGCCAGTGAAGCCTTAATTAAAACGTTTTCTTTGCTTGCACATCCTTTGTCTAATTAACAGGGGCTTTGGGCTTTTAGGTGGGTTAGCCTTGCTCAGGGGTGCTCTGTTAACAGCCACCAAGCCATGCTCGTTTAGGAAAGAGACAAGCCCTTCATATGGGTCATTGAGAGACTCGTCAGAGGCTCAGAGTCTGGATTTCACAGAGAAATGTGTTAGATGATGGATTGGCTGGTTTTCTCTGCATTTCAAGCACAAACATTTGATCACATGAGGAGTGTTTTGTTAGAAGTAAAACAATTAAAGGTGTCTGTCTTGGTTTGGGTTCTCCCAGAAGCTGATCTCGCAGCAAGGATTTGATGTAGTTTCTGGGGGGAGGGGTGGTCTCAGGAAGTGCCAGGAGGGCAGGGAGATGGCGGCAGGGACAGCAAGGAGATGGGCTACCAGATGGGTCAGTCCTGTGGGCAGCTGGCGCTTGGCCCCCACCCCCGGGGGCTCTGGGAGATGGGGTAGAACATGTGCCTCCGAGTTACCCTGCCCAAGGGTGAGGGAGCTGGTGTATTGACCCACCAACGCCGGTCAGTCAGAAGGGAGCGCTGCTCCCAGGGCGTTGACTTTGGGGACCAGGAAAGCCCTTGGCCGAGAAGTACAGGTGCAGGCGTTTGGACGTCAGGCATGGAAATACATGGAAATGGTAAGGGTCACGGGATGTAAGTGGGGGACCATTGCCACCTGCCACAGAGTATGTGCTGAATGTCCTTTTGTCTGAGTCACTTAGAATTTGTCACTCAGAGATTGCAATCCTGGGTCAGGCTTCAGAAAGCAAAATCAAATGTCATCCCGTAGTTCCTCGTTTAGCAGTTAGTTAATTAACTAGTCCAACGTTTATTCAGCATACTCTGTGTGCCAGACAGTGTGGCATGCTGGTAAGGGGAGAGTTTTCAAGTTTATTAATGATCTCAATTACCGTAATATAATATACCATACTACACATTTGTGCATGCTCTCCTGTGCACACACATTTACTCAGGTACTTACAGTATCACATCCTAGGAAATAGGAATTACTTGAAGCCAGAATCTTCACAAAAATTTTTACGTTGCCTGTAGATATCTCTTTTTTTCTACTAACAGTCCAAAAATAATCTTTTTACTTATCCAATTAAGAAATTACTCCTTCCCCATGTAGATGCTCCAGAATACATTAAACACAGTGAATAAATGTGCTGAAACGGATTATTGCATTTGCCTAAACAAAAGTACCTGGCGAGACAACTACACATTATTAGGGAAAATTGATGGTGTCGTAAATTACATCCTATTATTTCTTTGTTAGAAATAATACAAAGAATACTAAATGGAGTCTCCTTTCCTTTCTGTGTAGAGCTTAAAAAAATCTTTCTCTGAATTCATTTGAGGTTTCAATTTCAAGAAAGAAATATGCCTTTGTTGTTCTTTCCAAAAGATGAGTGGAGAACCGGCTCCATGGCACAGTTTTGAGGTACATATCATTTAAAAGCTTAAGAGAGAATAATGAAAACCATTAGTGGAGCGCAGAATGTGCTAGGAATTTGGACCAGCGTGTATATTATATTCAATAACAGCCACGGCAAACCTTTTCTTTTCCCCATTAAGTCTTTTTATGTTTTTGGACCATGTGTTCTGTTAATATTCCTATTTAAAAAGGCGGGAGTTATCTTTTTGGAAAGAAAGGTCATTTTTATATTTTATTCAATCAATGATCAAGAATGGATTGGGGGCCTGTTCTGTGCCACGCATGTCTCTGGGGAGACAGCAGGGTACACTGGACGTGCTTCTGCTCTCAAAGTCACGACTTTCTGGAGGGAGAGGAAGGAATTGCACAAGCAGGCAGATAACTAAATAAGAGAAAACAACCTAGAGACAATACTACAGGGAGATGTGCTACAGTGTCAGGGGTCTCCTTTGAGTTGGATGGTCAAGCGAAGACCCCATGGACGAGGTGACGTGTGATCTGATGACAAAATGGGCCCATCACGTGCAGATCGGAGAGAAGAGCATTCCCGGCAGCGGGAACTGCCAGTGCAAAGGTCCTGGGGCAGGAATGGACTGACCTGTTCAAGCAGGGGAAATAAAGGGGACTGGGGGGGATGATGGAAAGAGGTGGGGACGATGGAAGGAGGGGAGGATGAGGCGGGAGGCAGGGGCCAGGTGAGCAGCATTTCCGGGAGGTTCACCTGAGCCTGAAAGCCGGGCTTGCAGTGTGAAATGCAGGGCTGCCTGCAGTGGACACCTTGGCGTCGAGTCAGGCTCTTTGTCTGCCCCCTGCTCCCCCCACCCCAGAGCCCCACTTGCTCATTTTCTTGGCACTTCTCTCCACTTTTCCTTCTTGGTTCTCTTTTTCCCCAGGAGAGCTGCAGAATGGGTTCATTTCCTGGCTTCTCCTCTCCCTGAGGTCTCTGAAAACAAGCAAGTTTTTATAAAAAGTAAACCCGGGGGCTCAGAGCAGGCCTCCCAGTAGCATCAAAGACAAGAAAACACCAGAGCTTTGCCACTGCTATATCAGGGGTCCTGCCCTCTTCCCCGACTCAGCCTCAAGCCCAGGACCGAGACTCTCCCAAGCCACCTTCCCCATAAAGAAGCTGTGACCCAGCCCCCCAGCCCCCCATCCTCCAAGCGTCTGAGTCGGTGACCAGTAACTGCTGTCGTATCAGCTGTCCTGGTGCTGACCCCACAGACCCTCCAACCCTTGCTGCTCTGGTTCAGGCCCACGCCCCAGGCAAGCATGTCCACACACTGGGCAGGTGGGCAGTGCAGGGCCTCCCGGAAGCAGCACTCATCCAAGACCGGGGGGCCCAGGTGCATAAACACCCCAGCCCTTGCGCTTCTCTGTTGGGGTAACTCCAAGACATGTTGTACAGTCCCTGGTGGGTGTCAGCCCCAGATGCCCATGGAGAAACCCACTCATCTATGTGCCCTGAGTGGGACTCCTCCCTTCCGTGTCCCACTGTCCTGCTTCCCTACAAAAAGATGCTTCCTTTCAAGTAAATGACTTGACCTCGACTCCTTGTGTCAGAGTCAGCTTCTGGGAGGAACCAACCTAAGACGGCTGGTGGGCATCTTCCCAGCCACCTCTCCCACCGCTCAGGAGGCCCTCAGCCCTGATTTCGTCTTGAGGAGCTGCTTCTCCCACACAGGTTACAGCCCTGATGGGACCATCAAGACATCCTGCCTTCCTCTGCCTGTGGGTGGGCAAGTGTCCAAACCAGACCCATTGTTGGAATAGGAGATCTGAGTCTAGAGAAGCCAAGACTGGATGAGCTGGAGCTGCCCCGTGATGGAGGAGTTCTGACGTGGCCCCCCTGCTTCCCGCTGTGCAGCCCTGTCCCCAGTCTTACTGCAACCCCTGTCCCTTTTCCAGGCTGGTTTGTGCCGTCTTTTCAGGCTTCCCTTCAGTTCAGAGAGCTACGCTGCATGCTTCGCACGTGCTGCTTGTTTGTTTTCACTAGTCAGAATTGGTTTCTGTTGCTTGCAACCCCAGAGATCCCAAAGATAACTGCTAGTGAAGGAGGTTTGGTATCAAGGGGGAACTTGTGGAAGTTTGGATTACGTTGGGTTGCCCCCAAAGCAGACCCTAAACAAGGTCTCAGGTGCAGGTGGTTCATCAGAGCGGTGATCACAGGAGCTCAGCGTGCCATTGGTAAGCACCAGTCTCAGCTCCAAGCCGGCCTTTCTACACTCCAGTGCTGGGGCTGGAAGCTGCGACCTCGTTCTTTCTCTGCCAGCATCTCCCTGATAGGAGAAGAGAGAAAGGCTGGAGGAGGGAGAAGGGCCCTGCTCCTTGTTTGTTCTCATCTCCTGGCAGTGCTACCTCACCCTGGCAGCGGCAGCTCCTTCCCAGAGCAGCTGAAGCCAGTTCTCAGTTTTTCCAACGTTTGCAGAAGCAGCCTTGCTACAGTCTCCTCAGGAGTCTGGGTCTTCCAGGGCGGGCCTGCCTGCCAGGGACACTCTCGCTCCACCTCTGGGCAGGCGGGAGGGTTGGGTGGGAGGTGCCCCCTCCCCGGGACCCCACCACCATTCGACAAGCCGCCTTCACCTTCACGCAGGTGTTAGACTCCTTGGTCCATGTGGTCTTTAATGTTCTCTTTTGCTTTTCTAATTAAGAAGGCATTACATCTTTATACTCAGTTTTAGTGCTTTATATTCAGTTCTCTCTGTTAACATCACCAGTGGGGTTTCTGTCCCCTGACTGGTGAAGGAGAGGGAGCGAGACTGGGAAGAGAGGTGCCTGCACAGGCACCCATGGGGAAGAGACCAGGCGTAACATCTTCAAATTGTCCTGACAGGAGGTGAAGAAGCTGGGGTATCTGTAGACCAGCTCCCACCCTTCCTCAGGTGAGGGCGGCCATGGGGCGCTGATTCCCTGGCCCTTCTGCTTGTGGTACACGAGGTCTTGTGTGCAGCCAGAGAACATCCCTGGCAGAGAGAGCAACCTTGGCATGTATAGCCACTCTCTACGGGTGACCTCTGGGGCCACCCAAGGAGATAGATACAGGACAGAGGTTGGCAGACGTTTTCTATAAAGGATTATAGGTTGTACAGCCTCTGCTATAACTACACAACTCCGTTGTATTAGCATGAAAACAGCCACAGACAATACAAAAGGAAATAGGCATGATTGCTTCCAATAAAACTGTATTTGCAAAACAGGCAGTGGGCTGGATCAGGTCCCTGGGCTGTAGTTTGCTGATCCCTGCTGTAGGACAGGCACCAACAAGGTCTAATACAAAATCCAATTTGCATAGCAGAGGACATGTCTTACCTGGCATCGCTGCTTGTTTTTTCCTTCCCTTTTCATGTTGGAAAATTCCATTTGGGTCTCTCCTTGACTTGAAACTTATATTTTGAGAAAGGATCTTCAAGCAACCACCATAATCAAGTTTATCCTGAAACGGTTGTATCCCGGGTTTGCAGATGGGATGTTGCTGGTGAGAGAAGTCACCTCAAAACTCACACAGCTTTTAGCACATTGATGATGAAGAACATTATTCAAACCCCACAATTAGTGCAAATGCTCGACTCCCATCTCTCGTGCTTGGATAAAAGCAAATAAATGCCACAAGAAAGCCATGCTGACATACGTTTATTCAGAGACATGGGGGTTTTGAGTTGAGATGTGTATTCTATCTATCAGGAGATTATATCTCTGGTCAATAGCTCACCTGTCACACCTGCCCCTTCACCTGTGTCTTGTGACCAGGAGTTACCTGGTGGCTTACCTGTCACCTGTGGCCAGTGGCTCCAAGACATGGGATCAAAAGAGAAAAAGATAGGTTGTAGCCTCTGCCTTCCATCCAGCTTGGAGTAGACCAACGGCGTCCTCTTGAGTGCAGGGGAACATCTTTCAGGGCACTGTGATGTGGGACCCCTCCATGCTGGGAAGGTGAGGGTGGGGTGGCCTGAAGCCTCCATGGTAGGAACTGGTGACAGTTCACATTATAACTAAGGAATCCCCAGCTTCATTTGGCTCTTCAGGCATCTGAAACCCTGTGGGCTGAGATTTCTAATTACCCCCATCCTACCCCACACAGCGCAGGGCTGAATATTAGGAATTTAGCAACGCAGAGTCTGCATCTCCTGGGCCGAGCACATTTCTCATGGTCAAGTTCATTCTCTCCTCAGGTTCACAGTGAGTCTCCTCTAAGTCCTGAGAGAAAAATGAAGCTGGCAGGCTGGCTTGGAGAATTTGCCTCGGGTCAGATTTTGATTCTTGGCGCCTTAAAAACTCAAAACCAAATTCGACCCATGTTTTTTAAACCCAAGGAAAGGGACAATTAAATGCACAAGAGATTAGTGGACCAACTCAAATATGAGTTTATTAATTTGCAACGCAAAGAGGGAGCCTCCTTTCCTAGAGCTCCAGGAGCTGGCCACCCCCTCTCCTGGTGTCAGTGTCCTTGGGAAGCTGATGAAGGCGTCAGGAGGCTGTGTGTGGGCTTAGAATCCCCACTGGCAGGTGGATGGGGTTTCAGGGTGCTTGTCTGGGGATGGCCTCCCCATGCACAGGTCTCTGTCCTCAACTGACTTCAGCTCTTCAGAGGATGGAATCCCCCTTTATACCAGCGTCTGCGTTTCCCTACGCTGAGCACTGCCAGATACTGTTCTTGACTTCCGTCCCCCACTGTCCATTTCCTAAGCTCCCACGTGCTGAGTACCGGCCCCCCTTTCCCCACAGCTTGTTCCTTCTTTGGAGACAGGGAACCACCTGGCAGCTACAACCAACCCCCTTCACTGATGCCGGACACATCCTGTGCTCATGTTACTTCAAACCCCCCGTGTTTTTCAAACCCCTTATTATCTCCCACAACTAGTGCCTCTAATCTTGGCATTCTGATTTTTAGAAATTTCTATCAAATTAGACTCTGCCTCCAAAAACTGACTCTGGCTATGCGTTCACCAATTCTCTTAATGCATTCAGCATTTTTCTCTCTAAATACGAAATGCTTGGCTACGTTTCCTAAAGGTTTTGTAGTGTGTGGTTTTCGACTCCAACCAGTGAAGGCATTGATCCCATGAAAACCACTCATTAATTTGTAAGTGACAATAAAAATGACACATAGTAGTAACTCTATAAGAATGATCAGTTTTTTAACTTAATCTTTGGGAAATCATTCTTTGAACTTAAGTATTGAAAAGAAGCCTTCAGTCTGTCACAAGATCAGACTGGACTTTACACCCTTCAGTATGTGTTTTCAGCCTTTGGCTCTCTTAAGATTTTACAGTAGGGTATCATAGGATAAAACTGAAAATTGTTTTTACAGTGAACTATGATAAATATAATATATTTGTATTTTATTAATAATTATCAAGATTTGCTAGAACTGCATGTGGTCTCATGGGTAGAGCTGGTTTGTCATACTCTTCATGGTACTGCCCTATGAGGAGAGGCTGCCATGTGAATCAGTACCCAAGAATATGTTTTTTTTTCTTCCTTTTTTTTTTTTTTTTTTTTGCGGTACGCGAGCCTCTCACTGTTGTGGCTTCTCCCGTTGCGGAGCACAGGCTCAGGACGTGCAGGCTCAGCGGCCATGGCTCACGGGCCCAGCCGCTCCGCAGCATGTGGGATCCTCCCAGACCGGGGCACAAACCCGTGTCCCCTGCATCTGCAGGCGGACTCTCAACCACTGCGCCACCAGGGAAGCCCTGTTTTTTCTTTTTTGAAAGAGATCATATCAGTTCTTTTTAATAAACTCCTCCACAAGTCACAGGATTTGCAAAGTTGGTAAAATACCATTTTCCATTTCACCTGGAAGCTTGCTTAATTTTGTGACTACTAAATCCAGTTCTGGATCAGGAAAGTTATAGCAAAATAAGTACCCTCTTGACACTGAACAGACCCTGAAGTCAAGCTGTGGTGTTGATGCAGGGGTATGCTGTCATTACATAGTTTATGTTATAAATACATCCCCAGTTACACTTCCCTTATATTTTCTACTCAGTTTACTTTCTTTACATAAGAATATGTTGTAAAGTGGCATCAAGTTATCTCTGTGGTAGAGACCCCAGGGCTCACCAAGTATTCCACTAGTTGTCCTATAATCCCTCAGTTGCTTCCCGTGCAGGCAGGGTCATTGACCAGTACTGGCCAGTGCACGGTGGGTCAAGTGACATGTGTGTCTCCTTCAGGGTGAACATAGAAGAGTGAACAAATCTTCATGGGTTCTTTTCTCCTGCCTGCTGTCGCAGCCTCGCGTTGTGACGATAAACCTAAGGTTGAAGGTTGAAGCAGCTTGATCCCTGGGTCACTGAATGGAGATCTCTGGCCTTGGGGAGTCACCCAGATCCTCCGTGAAATTTGTGTAAATCATAAATAAACCTTTGTTGTATTAAACCTCTGAGATCTGGGGGCTGTTCATTACTGCAGTATAACTTAGTCTAGCCTGGTGAATATATTCTAGAATAGTGTTTCTGAAAGATCTTTGACTGTGACCCCAGTAAGAAATGTACTTTACATTGTGAGCCAATACACACACTCAGACACACACACACACACACACACACATTTCCGAAAAAAAAATCTCAGAAAACAATAGTTATCATTAATATGCATGATCTATTCTATTCTATTCCAAAATTGCTGGTTTTAACTCCCTAAATTTATTTTACAACTACTAATGGGGTGTAACCTGAGTTTGAAAAATGCTGCTATAGATCATAATTTGGGTATGATTTATTTGCTAATTATAAATCTTTCATGAATATTTATGAAAGCAAGATTTTTAGATCTCTCTTTGGCAACTTTTAATTATCTGCTGCCAGAATGGATGGAAGTGTTTTTATGTAATACATGTCACATCCCACGTAATTTCTGGAAGGTAATGTTTTATTGTTGAATCTCCTAATTTACATCATGTACTTTTAAATTTACTTATAAAATTTTGTCACAGGGAATAGCAATGTTAACTTGATTAATTATTATTCACTTATTTTCATTTTTAAAATAAATGACTATAAATAAGTATCTCTTGCATTAGAATCAGGATGTCATAAAAACCTCACTAGGTAGACATATTTTAGTGTTAATACTTGTGTAAAACATGAAATAGAGACCAAATAGTTTTAAATAGCACTATATATATTTTTATGTACTGTATACTCATATCAAAACTTGCCATTTCTATTAAGAAGCTGATAAGTTACTCTCTAATTTCACAAATTATACCATAACTGTGAAAATATGGACAACTATTTTATATCTGTGCTGCTATATAAGACACTTAATGTTTTTACAGAGAAGCAAGATTACAGAGGTGAAGTAATGGGAGCTGACGAACATTTCACCTGAATTTCCACCAGCCTTTTCCTTCAGCCAGAATCATCTTGATATCCTCTGAATATTCTTTTAGAGATGAATGTGGTGTCTGTTTCTTCAATAAATACACATACACACATTTTATGTATATGTGTGTATATACAGTTATACAAGTGTATATAAAGATATATACACATATATACACACGTGTATATAGTCTACATATGTATATATATTTCTGTGTGCACTTATACACACATGCACACATAACGTCCTTTGGTTTATTTTCAGATTGTTAATGTGAAATGAAATTTTGATGATTTCCATTTATTTTTTCTTTAAGTCTAAACTGGTTTAAAAAGACCTTTGCAACATGTAATAAATTTCTTTTAAAAATCATAAATAGTATTACATTGTAAAGCATTCTATAGAGAAGGTCATATGGTGTTAGAGAAGACAGAAATTCATGCCAACATGGGGGGAAAAAGAAAGAAAACGGGTTTTCCAGACTTTTCCCTTCAAGTTGCCACCTTCAGGGGACGGAACCTCCTGCTCTTGTGTTGCTGGCTTTAAGGAAAGGAACTCCAGGCTGAGCTACCCGCTTCCATGGGAAGAGAGAAGTGTGAACAGAAGTGGTTGATCAGTTCTTTGGAATCAAATCAAACGAGCACATCGTTTCTCGGGAGCGGGTGGGCATTGGGATTGGTGATGAAGAGCCAGTCCTCGAACAGGAAAACGAAGTGACAGCTGCTCAGAAAGCATTTCTATTTGCTGATGAGACGGGATGTTCGGGGGTTGACTGGGGAAGAGGGTGTGTCACCTTTAGATTACATGTAAAACCCCCTCCTGACGGCTTAGCTGCCGAGATGGTAACTGAGTGCTTCCGTACAGAGGCCTCCCTCCTCCTGCTTCCTTCGGGTCTCAGGTTACTAGGGGATGAGCTGGCTTTTCCCCTCTTCAGCAGAGGGGGCTCCATACAAAGGGAGGATCCATGTGAGATGGCTGCCCCCTCGCCCTGCACACACCTCTTCTGGAACAGAGGCCGTTTCCCCAACTCATCAGAGAAGTCACAACGCGCAGAAGGTGTTTCCCTCTAGTCATGTGCTTTGGAAACCAAAGCCCAAGCAGAAAGCTCTCGAAAACACTCAGCTCACCTCTCACTTCCATCAGATTAGGAAGCCCCAGAGTGACTGCAGGAAAGGAACATTCCTGTATTAAAAACCACTAAGCGACCCTTTCCCAGAAGTGTTGCCATCCTGCCCTGCCTTTCTTCTTTTGGATAACTATGGGAGGAACCCCAGAAAATTGGGGCTGGGATGAAGGCTACACACACAGGGTAATTTGGGCATCTCTAGCAGAGTTTACCGTCACTCAGAGCAGCAGCTGGTAAAGGGCAGCCAGGCTACTGAGTTTTTACATGTATCACGCTGGCCAAGTGAGACTAGCTATGATGTGGGCGTTGGTGGCAAGATTTCCAAACCTTCATGCTTTCTGACTCTCTCTTCCCCATCTGGTAATTAGGGCAACTTTCCATTCACGCCACCTTCATTTACATCCCTGAAAAATCTTGCTAAAAGTCAAAAACATCTTTCCCCAAAGGATTTACAGCATCTGTGCTTTAAGAGACTCAGAGCTCACCTCTGTCATAACCTTGGATTCTCCTTTTAAGTAACAGGTCCTCAGCTGAGACCGTGAATGAACGTCCTTGGCGTCACCGCGCCTGGCTTTTTAAATGCATTCTCTTCTATGAAAGAAACCGAGGGGACAGCGGTCCCAGGTTTGTTGGCAAGATATCACCTATCTGAATGACAGAAATAAAGAACTTCGAGTCACAAATAGGACAGAGGTGTTGGTGGGAACACTGTATTTGGGGCACAGAATAAAAAAGGTTGCTTCCATGGTAATGAAAATAACCACTGACAGTGAGCAAAGCTTCGGAGCAAGAAGTTGGAGTCGCTTGTGTGGGGGGAGGTTAATCTCTAGATGCCCGGCTGGGGCGGCGGGCCGGCAGCGGGGAGCGGGCGCCGAGGGGCTAGTTCTCGCCCAGGATGCTCTTCAGGCTTCTCTCCACCGCTTCGTCCAGCTCTTCCTCCAGCTCCTCCTTCTTGGACATGGCCAGCTTGGACTGGTAATCCCTCACCACCTGGTCGATGTACGGGGCGCTCTGCGTGCCGTGGAGCATCAGTGTCCACTCCTTCAGCACCCCCTTTTGGGGCGCGCTCCCCACGAAGCCCAGCTCCAGGGTCCATGTCCCCCGGGCATCTTCCCCCCAGGTGTGGGTGGTCATGAAAGGCCACTTGTCGAAGCCCACTTTGGTGTCGTCGTCCCGTGGCCGCCGGCTCAGCAGGATGGACTTGGTGCCCATGGGGGACGTCATGTTGATGTTCAGGTCCCCTCGCCTGGTCGCGTTGACCGTGACGACAGCTTGCACGTGCTCCAGGTAGCGCACGAAGTTCTCCTTCCCCTCGCAGGCGGCGGTGGTGAGCTTCAGCACCAGCTTGCCGGTCGGTGGTATTTTCCTGAGGGCAGAGGGGAGGAGACCGTGAGGGCTGGGCACACTCTCCCAGGGGCAGCTCCGGGGAGCGGGGAGAGCAGGGGCTCTGGAGTGAATTAGTATTTTTTTTTTTTTAGGTAGCTGAAAATTTTATTAGAAAATTAAAATGTAGAACTCTACAGTAGGGACTTCCTTGGTGGTGCAGTGGTTAAGAATCCACCTGCCAGTGCAGGGGACACGGGTTCGAGCCCTGGTCCGGGAAGATCCCACATGCCGCAGGGCAACTAAGCCCATGCGCCACAACTACTGAGCCTGTGCTCTAGAGCCCACGAGCCACAACTACTGAGCCTATGTGCCACAACTATGGAAGCCCTCGCGCCTAGAGCCTGTGCTCCACAACAAGAGAAACCACCACAATGAGAAGCCCACGCACCCCAAGGAAGAGCAGCCCCCGCTCGCCACAACTAGAGAAAGCCTGCACGCAGCAACGAAGACCCAATGCAGCCAAAAATAAATAAATTTATATATATATATAAAAGAACTATATAGTAGGTTCCCATTAGTTACCTGTCTTATACATAGTATCAATAGTGTATATGTGTCAAACCCAATCTGCCAATTCCTCCCACCCCCTTCCTTCCCTATTGGTGTCCATACATTTGTTCTCTCTGTCTGTGTCTCTATTTCTGCTTTGCAAATAAGATCATAGGAGGAATAGATAAAGATGTGGCACATATATACAATGGAATATTACTCAGCCATAAAAAGGAACGAAATCCAGGGTTAATTCTTACACTTGCTGTGTGAGCCTGAGCAAGTTACCCACCTTCTCAGAACCGACTGTGAGTGGACGGGGCAGGCGGCAGGTGCTGTGGACACCGTTCCCGCTTCTCCTAAGTCACTGCTGGGTTTGCCTGCAGCTGAGGCTACTGTGGACCCTGACTGCATCCACCACGGGTATCAGCATCTCCCAGCTTCTCTCCTGGAGCCTTTCCCTGCCTCCTGGGAGCGTCCTCAGCCTGCGTGCAGGCCGGCCCCGAAGTGTCAGAGATTTAACCCCACAGGGAAAGCCCCCTACCAGCGATTGACGGAAGGCGGCGAGTACATACACCTGGCTTCCTCACTCCTGGTGGGGACAACTCAGTGTTGCCCAGGGTGGTCAGTGTTGGTCAATGGAGCATCAATGCATCTTTATTGGATTGCTTCCTCTTCCCTGCCTACAGCTGCACCTCCTCACTTGTTTCCTGAGATCATCTCTCAAAACATTGTCAGTACCCAAGTCCCATCAGGGTCTACTTTTGGGACAACCCAGACTGAGACAGGAGCTCATATACTTTTCTTTTAAAGTACTCACTACCTTGATAAGGAGAAATTATTGCTAATGTGATTGCTAACACTATCATAAAAAACTGAAATTGGGTTAATTAACCCTAGTAAAGCACAGTCCTGTGACAGGCCAGGGGAATTTGGGAGTCTCTTCGGTCATAGAGTTGGAGCCCCATGGACCGTCAGTCTAAGATTCCTCAGCTGTCTTTCCATATAACCGATCTCCTTTCTGGAAGTGGCCTCCTTTGGAGATGAGATGCTCAAAGGTTCTTGCACTAGAAACATAATACAGGAAACTACATTTGAGGAGGGCATGGTACAATGGAAGGACTCCAGACTTCGGGAATAAACCTATTTGGGTTAGAATTCTGCTTCTATGCTTACTGGTCAAGAGAGCTTGGGAAAATTTTTCATATACTTGAAGTCTCATTGTCATTGTGGGTGGGTTTAAATAAGACCATGTAGGAAAACACTGAGCACAGTGCCTGGACCATGATACTAGCTCCCTTTCTCCAGCCCTTTGTCTATGTTAATGTCCTTCCTGGACATGGCTTTTACTTTGGAGCATAAAATGGTGTGTATTTTTTTAAATTTTTATTTACTTTATTTATTTATTTTGGCTGTGTTGGGTGTTCGTTGCTTTTCCCTAGCTGTGGTGAGCAGGGGCTACTCTTCGTTGAGGTGTGTGGGCTTCTCATTGTGGTGGCTTCTCTTGTTGCGGAACACAGGCTCTAGGCACATGGGCTTTGGTAGTTGTGGCTCACGGGCTATAGAGTGCAGGCTCAGTAGCTGTGGCGCACGGACTTCGTTGCTCCGCGGCACGTGGGATCTTCCTGGGCCAGGGCTTGAACCCATGTCCCCTGCATTGGCAGTGGATTCTTAAACACTGCGCCACCAGGGAAGCCCATGGTGTGTATTTTTAAACACACATCTTGTAGAATACATCTACAAAAGGATGCTGGTCATACACCCAGCTCAGAGCCAAGCCTTGGTTCTACGTTGCCCTTGGAACCAAGGCAAAGAACCTGGGAGGGCTTGCTGGAGCTCCCCTGCAGCTCATTGATAAAGGCAATACTCTCCCAAGGAGCTTAAAAATATACACATAAACAGTCTCATGGACCGTGTGTGCTCTGCGTGGACTCTGATGCTGAATCATGCATCCACTGGCCATGGAGATCCAGTGATGGTGCAGGGGCAGAGGGCCCCCGGCACCAGGTTCTGGGGAAATCATCCAATTTGGTAGAAAGCAGGCATTAGGCCAGCTTTGGAGATGTGAGTATGGCAAGCCACTACCTGGACCTCTCAAAGAAGATGCTACTTACTCAGAACAGGATCAGAAACATAACAGGTGAGCTGATAAATGATTAATGATCACATGGGCTCCAGCCCCTGGGCAGAAAGCTACATGGGTAGATTAAAGGTCCAGTTGTGGGTAAGGAATTTGAACTTTCTGAGCTCACTTTCCTTACCTATACAATGGGGATATGACTTCCTACCTTGAAGAGTTGCTGTGAAGATAAATATAGACACACACTCATATACGTTGTACATTTACAAATGTCTAGACCAGTGCTGGCCAACAGCACTACCAATTCCTGCAAGGATGGAAATGTTCTATATCTGTGCTAATACTGTAGCCACTGGCCACATGTGGCTTTTGGGCACTCGAAATGTGACAAGTATGAGTGAGGAACTGAATTTTTAATTAATTAAATTTAATTTTAGTGATCAATTTAAATTTATTTAATTTCACTAAATAGCCACACGTGGCTAGTTGCTTCTGTTTTGTAGAGCACAGATCTAACTGTTGAGAAAATAATTGGAATTTTGCCATCCACCTGGGCAGGTTGGCGTGGGAACAAGCACACACACCTGTTAGGATTTACAAATTGTCCTAGAAGCCTTGGGGTTGGGGTGTGTGCCAGGGTCGGAGGCCCCTCCGGGAACCCCTTGGCCCCTGGGAGCCTGGCTTGTTTAGCGCCTGGGGGACTTGCCTGCTCCCCAAACTCCCATCCCCACCTGCTGGCTGAGGGCCTGGGGCCCTGGGGAGAGGACATTTAACTGCACTCTTCTTGGAATGTTGTCACTTTGAAATTGACTTGAATTGTGAATTCCAGAGGCAGCAAGCTTGATAGAGAAAAGAGAACACCACTCCCTCTCACAGGCAACCTGGCGTTCGTTGGTCCGGAGAGGCAGGGAGCAGCTCTCGTGGATTTTTCTTACCCTCTTCTTGCTGCTTTGTATGTTCTGACTTTCCTCCAGTGCCATATATTGCTTTTAGAAGAAAAGGAGTACAACTCATTCTTATTTTAAAAGAACAGGGACAGGTGCTCAGGAAAAGTCAGTTTATCAGAAGGTTGCAGTAGGAGATGGCTGTTTGTGGAAACAAAGAGGCTCTTCAGAGACCCAGATCTAGCCACACAGCCACGTTCGGGAACACACTCGCTGCTGAAAATGAGGCACCCATCAGAAGGTGTGAGCTACTCTCTGAACTTTCAGAAACAAGTACAGAAGCCTGGTGCTCAAGTCCTATAAAGACAAACATGGCTTATATCTTTGTCTTACTGCATGTTGGTGCAAAATGAGGGCTCAGTGACTTTGTGCTTAGAAATAGGCGTTGCTTCCCCGGGGGCCCTTGGAATGCTCTTTGGGTTCTCAATCCTCAGCTGTATGATAAAAACTGTTATGAAGCTGTAGCCGTTTTGCTAGAATGATAATAGTAACAATGGCAGCTGCCCTTTCCTGAGTATCTAAAACACCTGCCATGTGGTTGTCACTGAAGAACACTCAACAGGGGTCACTTGATGTTTGCTCTTCCCCACGTCACAGTGTCAGGTGGGCATTAACCCCCACAGAAGACACTGCAGCTCAGAAGTGACCAGTCCACAGCCACCCGGCCAGCACGCTGTGGCCGAGCACGCCCTCCGCTCTACTATGCATTCGGATCAGGTTTTAACGTTGATCTCCAAATTCATTTAAAATCCGGAGTTCGCCACAGTCTTCAAGGAGCTGAGTGAACAGGGGAGGGTGGAAGTGGCCTGTATCTGACAGCGTGCTCTGGGGACACGCTGGCCGATGGGGCGGCCTGGGCTTCCTCTGCTCACGGCCCTCGGCTGGTCCAGCACAGATGCTCACAGCCAGTTCTATTTTTCCCTTTTATTTTAGTCAAGCATCCTTTACAGACTCTCCTGATGAAGTCTCCTTAGAAAATTGCTTTTCGAATTGACTGCTTCTCTGGGAAGATGAGTGCTGAGGAAACTCATAACCCTGACGGTTGCCACTCACCTGCTCAGAGGCCGTTTCTGTACAGCCCTGCATAGAAAGTGGCAGCTATCAAGCCTGCGGATCCCTCCGTCCCAGCCCCTGAGAAGTTGGATTCCTGGTGATAGGGCTGCCTCTACCAGAGGCACAAGCTGGCCTGGGCGTTGCCCTCAGGACCCCCTGCCCAGCCTCTGAGTTCTTTCATGAGCACATCTGCCCCAGACCTCACTCACCTGCATCTGAGAACAATTCAGGCGTGGGTGGACGAGGGGACACAGAGCGCTTCCAACAAGGCTGCCTGTCCCCTGCCCCTGAATCTCCCTGGCTGGACTGGTGGTCCTATTGCCACCGTGTAGACATCTTCCTTGTGCCCAGGTGATGCTGGCTAAATGTTCATTCATTCATTCATCCCACAAATATTGATCCCATGACTACTAAGTTCCAGGCGCTGTTCTAGGCCCTGAGGACACACCAGCAAACGAGACAGATGAGGTCCCTGTCCTCCTGGAGCCCAGCTGAGTTAGTGCTGAAGTAGCTCTCGCGTTTCCTCTCATTAAAAGAATGCTGCTGAGACTGCCCACAAACCTCCGTCTTCTGGACCTTACCCCAAACCTCAGAAATAAGAACCTCTGTGGGGTGGGGCGTTGACATACGTATTTTCACACACCAACCAAGAAATCCCTCTATACTTTACATTTTAAAAATTGCTGTCACAGTATATGTGTACATGTGTATTTTGTTTGGAATAAAATTGTCTCAACTAACAGAAGGTCATTTGTGGAAGGTAAATTCTCAATGGATTTGCATAAAAACCTGTAAGAAGTATGTTTTCTATATAGACAAGAACATCTATAGATATTGTGAAATAAATTTAACCTAGTGAATCAACTGAAATATAATAAAAGATTTCTCCAGATTAAAAGAAAATAATGCTGCTGCTATTGGATAAGTTCCCGGCTAGTTGTGAGCCATTGGGACGGTCACATCTCAGGGCCTCAGATTCCTTAACTAAAATGAGGCGTCAGACAGCCTATTTCCAGTGTTGCCTCTGGCTCCAAATTCCAACCTGTACCTGGATTATGACAGAATGTCCAGTGCACTCGGAATTGGGAGAGAAACGGTCATTCATCTCGGCATATACGTTCCGCATCTCCCTCTCCCCTCTGCCCCCCAGAAGCACAGAGCGCGAGGATCAACAGAGACCCATCCTTCTTGTCCAGGGCAATTGTGGAGAACAAGGTCTGACATCAAGGTGAACCTCGACTAAGCAGGCCCCAATGCCCGTTCCCCTAAATACTGCAACCGTGCCACCTTTCTGTTAATCTCGAATGTAGCCAGGATGCAACTAACTGTACATCCTGCTCTGGTCACACTGCCCATGGTCCCCACCTGCTGTGGCCCAGCGTCTGCAAAGGCACAGACGCCGTAAGTCTTCCCCTTGGCAATCCCTCTTTGTAAATCTCTCCCTTTTTGCAATAAGGGAAAGAAGTTCCAGGCCCCAGGGCTTTGTAGACTGGATACTTTGGAGTTGTGCAACACTGCAGCTCTGCCTGGAAGCTGGTTGTCCCTGAATCAAATCCAGTGCATCTCGGGATGACGCAGAGAGGGAATCTGTTATGGTCACCAGTGCAGTGGCGCCATCTCTGGGTATTTTCCACAAACAGCAGTAGAACTGCTGCCCGCACTTACTCAGGGTCCTGCACGGAGCCTCCCACACAGTGGAACCTCTCAGGCACAGTTTTCCAGTCTTTGGCCATTTTCACCATGGCGCCTGCGTCAAGCACCCCGTAGCCAAAGAGGTGATTAAACTCCAAGCCGACCCCGTTCCTCCGCCACTGATGGACCTCGTCATGAAGCTGGTTCCGTTTGGAGGTGAGCACGGTCAGATGCTGCATGTCTCTCCAGGTCAGACCCAGGCTGGGTACCGGAGGCAGAGTGTTTGAGAGCAAGGGCGGGGGAAGAGGAGAGAGAGAGAGGGAGAGAGACACAATGACTAAGGTAGGACATAGACCCCTGGTAAGATGTTGGAACATCTATGAACCCACAAGTCAAGGGAGGATTTCCATGCACTACTGAGAATATAGGTATAGATATATGTCAATTTAAAATATCTTGCCCTTCTTACTTAAATACATTTCAATTGCGATATCTAACACACACTGGAATGGCTAAAATGAAAAAGACTGACAATACCAAGTGTTGGCAAAGACGTGGAGCAACTGGGTACTTTGGTGATGGAAGTGTAAGTTATTGCAGACACTTCGGAAAATGGTTTGGCTCTATCTTCAAATGTTGCCCATGTGCTTAAGCTATGGCCCAGAAGTTCCATTTTTAGGTATGTATCCAACAAAAATGTGTGTATATATTCACCAGACATATACGTATTGGAATGTTCATAGGCCTAAACTATGAAGTCCTCAAATGCCCATCCACAGTAAAGTGAATAAACCAATTGAGGTGTGTTTATAGGAGGTGGAACACTGCACTGCAATGAGAATGAACTACAGCTACTCAGAATAACAGGGAGCTCACAATTGTGTGAACCTCACAATAAGAATTCTGACCCAAAGAAGCCAGACACAGGGGAGAACACAGAGTATGGTTCCATTTGTTTAAAGTATAAAAACAGGCACAATGAATCTGTGCTGTCAGAAGCCAGGTTAGTGGTTGGTCTTGGGGTGGCAGTGCCTGTAAGGGACACAGGGGGCTGCTGGGTGCTGACAGAGTTCTGTTTCTTGATCTGGGTGTTGGCTACGCAGGAGTGTTCCATTTGGGGACATGAAGCTGTCAGTTCTTCAAGGGCAGAGACAACAGCTTCAGCATATTTGTCTCCCAGTGCCCAGGACAGCCCTCAGCATACTCTTCGTTCAGCAAATAGACAAGTTTGCTTGCAGACTTGTCTTTGGAAATTAATGTCTAACAGTCTGTGCTATTGACATTAGTGTCAATGTCTGTGCTTTTCAAAGTGTAAGTCATGATCCGTTTGTGGGCTAGGAGGTCAACTGATTGCACAGGCTATGTATCTGGGCTGCACAGTAAAACTGTCTGGTGGGAACATTTAAAAATCCACTGCTCAGGCCACATCTCAGACTATTTAAATCAGAATCTCTGGGAGTGGGACCCAGGCTTTGGAAATTGTTAACACTTCCCAGGTCATTCCAGTAGACAGCTGAGAACCAGAGATTTAATGGATGGGGCTATCACAAGTGGAATAGAACAGAAAAGAATAACAGTGTGCACGTAATATGGGAAACTCTGTGTGTGTGTGTGTGTGGTATTGTAGTATGTGTTTGGGTTGCAATGCAAAATTAATTTCTCACTGAGAGTCACGGTCACAAAAGTTGAGAACTACGGTTCTCCCTAGACTCAAATGATTCAAAGAACACCATCACTCATTTGATAAAATCTCAACACAAGCAGCATTCATTGGTTCAAAGCTTCAAAACAGAGTCAAAAGATGATAATGATTCATATGCTCTTGAAATGCAGACCTTTAAGTTCTTTTCCCATTTAGGTTTGTACATAATATTGAGGAGAAGGAAGTCCAGGAAGACCTTCAGCTTTTAAAGAGAAAGTTTCAAGGAAGGTCAATGCTTATTTGAGAAATTTAAGAACATATCTTGGACATATGGTTCCCTGGACATATGGACTAGGTGAACAGTGTGAAATTTCCTGAAGTTGATTATGGCCGAAAGCTCATTGTTTTGCTGGAATAGGATTCTGAGTTCATTTAACTCAAAAGTGTCGATAAACGAGGATTTGGTGACCTCAAGGTGATCCAAGGGCTGGCTGGTAGGTGGAGCATCTCTCATCTTTGCTAGGGGTTCTGCTGCAAAAATGAGCCATGCTTCTAACCCCACTAGACGTTTCTCCACGGATTTATTCTCATCGGGTCCATAAGAGAGAAAGAATGTGCTAGAACAAGGATGTTCTACTTTTAACCTAAATCAGAGCGTGCTCCATACTCCAATGTCACTGAATTTGTGACACCATTTGAACAACCATTTGCTTATGTCTGAAAAGTAAAACAGAGTCCCTCTTATTTCCTCATTCTGAGCAACTTCTGAATTGACCGAAGATACTATTGTGTAAAATAATTATTTCATCAACGTGCTTTAGGCTTTAATCCTACCATAGCAGCTCAAGGATTGTATTAAATTAAATAATAAATATTTTTATTATTTAATATTAATAATTAATATTAAATAATAAAATATTAAATAATAAAAAATAACTTTACAGAACATCTACAATATAAAAGTCACTGTGTTCAGTGCTACAGGACAAGGAACATGACATTTTCTCAAGTATTTTATATAATAGCTGGGAAAGTAAGACAGATATATGGAAAGGTATCATGTCCAGGCTCTGCACTAGTGCCGGGCAGGTCGTAGGAAGGTCCCTGCCCTCTCAGAGCCTACAGCCCGGGGGACAGACAGACAGCTCAATATTTTAAAATGCCAGGGGAGCCAACAGTGGAACCCTGAGTTATCCCAGCCGGGGAGTCTCACAGACTGTGGTCCTGCAGCAGAACCTCATGGGGACTCGTGACAGATATGGATTCCTGGCCTCAACCTCAGGTCTCTGGAATCGGCCTCCTGGACGCTGCGGGCCTGAGGATGTGCACTCAAGACAAAGCGCAGGTGATGCTTCTGCACACGGGGTTTGAGAACACGGGTCTGAGATGGCGGTTCACAACCTTGTCTGCACATGTGAACCAACGTGAACACAATGACGAAGTCAGACAGGACCCGGAGATGCTGTTCCCACGGGCCTGTCCGAGCATCTGCCGAAGGCTCCAGCAAACCTGCTTGGGGCGGGGGTGGGGGGTGGTTCTTAACTTCCTGGCGGCACTGGGGGTGCTTGTTACAAGTGCAGCTTCTGGAGATTCTGAGTCTGTGGACCTGGCGTGGGCTTGGATATCTGTTCTTAGCAAGCACTCCAGGGATTCTGATCAGCAGCAGCAAATTTGAGAAACTCTGGTCCAGGGGGTTAGCAAGGGTCTCTCAGGAAGTGATATTTCTAGCTAAGGTCAAAGGGACGAGTGGGAGTGACTGAGTAAACACAGGGAAGGGGAGTTCCTAGGGAGAGAAGGTTCTGGAAGGAAGGATCTAGAGGCGGGAGAAGGCACATATCAGCACAGGAGGTTGGGAGCCCTGTATGAGTCAGGGAGGTAGAGCCAGGAACAGAGGCGGAGAGGATGACACAGTAGAATGTAGGGACTTTATCTTAGTGACAGACAGGAAGGGCAGAGAGACCCGTGATCCGATCTCCAGAAACATCACCAGGGAGGAGGAATCAAGACGTGGGACTGGAAAGAGGATGCTGCAGGAACCTGGCCCACGAACAAGTGACCATGAGGACCGAGCCGTGAGCTGTAACAAGGCCATGTACGAGGAACCCCCGGTGAACTATCAGTGAAAATGGTGACACCTGTGCAGCTGCAGGGCACCTATTGGTTGGGTCCAATCGCTCATAGGACGCTGTGATGTTCCAGGGTAAACGTTCAGCTGTCAGCAGACTGGTCCTAGGCTACTTGGGATGGGCCATCTGCCTCTCGGTTCAGAGAGAACATCTCCGGAGGTCAAAGACAAACCCAGGGCTTCTAGATAAGATGTGAGGACAGGCCAGGGCTCCAAGGAGAGAGGTCACTCAGAGCCTGGCCAAGGTGGCAGCCGTCTTGAGCAAGAGAGTGTGGGATCTTGGAAAAACCAGTGTGAAGCCCAGGGAGAGACTGGCCCCACATGGCTGGAAGAGGAATCTTGCACCAGGGAGACCTCGGGATGGGCTGTTTCCTAAGCCTCTAAAGCTGGTCCTGGCAAGTGAGTTTTTGCCTGTGAATGATCCCTAGAACCATATCTCCTACAGAGCCCTGCACTTACGGTTGGTGTACTAACTTCCCACTGGTGCAAAATAGTGCCCTTTTTTTTCTTTTTTTTTTTTTTGAGTTCTCTATTTGTGAGGATTACCCCTGAAAGACCATTGTTTTTCAGAGTTCTTCTATTTATGGTATCAAATTCTCTGGATTCCAATTCACATTTTCCTCCTGATAATCAAGACAGCAAAGGGAATTTAAGGAGAGAACAGCTACAAAACTGCATTTCCCATCCTCCCTTGCAGTCTGGGGTGGCCATGTGACAGTTCTGGCCAATAAGAAATAAGTCCCTGGGTGATTTTTCGAAAATTTTTTAAACAGGGATCACTCAGCTGGTGGATTTCTTTTTTCCCTTTGCTTTTCCCCTCTTCCTGCCTGACATGTAAACATGATGGCTGGAGCTCCCGTGGCATCTAGATAACATGAAGGTGTAGAAGAACAGAAATCTAGAGACAGAGTCCCTGATTCTTGGTGGCCACCCTGCACTTGCCGGGGCTCCTCATCTCTGTATTATCTTCTGCATGACAGAAAAATAAACTCCTTCATAAGAAACTTATTAAATAAAATTAATATTCCATTTAAACTATATTGTTACTATGCTATTAAAAAAAAAGGAAAAGAAAAGAAAAATAAATTCCTGTCTCAGTTTAACTGTTGTTTTTGGATTTCCTGTTTCCAGTCTAATACGGGCACCTAGTCAGAGGCAGAGTGCGATGTTCATATTCCGCAAACGGCACCTGAGTGCTAGGTTCATAGAGCCCTTGCCGTACTCCTGGATGCCACACACTCCAGGCCACAGACCAGCATGGGGCTGGCTGCTCTTGCAGTCCCTGAAAAAGGCGTTGAAAAGACAGATTCCTGGGCCATTCATCCCTAAGGATGTGATTCAGTGACTTTCGGCTGAGTCTTGGGAATCTATCATTTTCAAAACTCCCCAGTGCTCAACTTCACTAGTTATCAGGGAAATAAAAATTAAAACTACAGTGCAATTCCACAGAATGCCCACAAGAATGGCTGAAGTGTAGAAGAAAGATAATAGCAAATGTTGGCAAGGATGTGGAACAGCTGTAACTCTCATGCACTGTTGGAGGGAGTGTCAGCAAGTGCACCAACTCCGGAAAACTGCTAGACCTGCACCTGTGTACACCCCATGACCCAGCTTTCTGACTCCCTAATATACATCAAACAGAAATGCGTCCACATCTTCACCAAAAGACATGTACAAGAATGCTCACAGCAATGCTATTCACAATAGCCCCGGTGTGGAAACAACCCAAGTATCCACTTATACAATGGAGTAATATTCAACAACAAGTATGGACAACCTATAAGCACACGCAGCAGCGTGGAGGAATCTCTCAGACATAATCCTGAACCGAAAAGCACATACTGAGACTCAGGTAATGGTCTGTTTCCTGACTTGGGTTCTGGTTACGTGGATCTGTTAACTTTACAAGAAGTCTTTGAGCTGTACCTAATATTTGTGCACTTTTCTCTGCATCTAGTAGACTTTGATAGAGCTCACATGAAAAAATCCATCCCTTGGAAGGTCAGTTTTGGAAACACTGTTCTAGTCCAGTATATGGGCCACTTTACTACGGATGGTTCTCCTGGGTCACAAGTTTGCCTCTTTTAACATCTACCCCTCAAACCCAGCTCAGCCCTCTTGAACCACCCAGAAAGCCTGGGGTCATGGAGAGAACCCCAAATATTTGAAGGCAGCAGTAACTCCCCACTAAAGAAATTCTTCGGAATTTCTCTAATATTGGTCTCACTGGGAAATGTGAGCAATGTTCCCGACAACTCAGAAAGGCATTTTCAAGCATTTGGCAGAAAAGCATTTTATGAGATTAAACAACAAGGTGATGACTGGTCAGAACAGAGGCGTGGTTTCCCTTTGTCCCCTGGAGCCATGGGGGTGGTCATTCTCCCTCTTCCGTAGTCTGGATGGGAATTCATTTAGACAGGATAATTTATTTACTGTATTCAAGTTGCTTTGGAAAAGCTTTCTTATTGGACCTCTGGGTGGGAAACAGCCCTCGACTGCTGCCACATATGTCACCAGGGACTCCCAGCTGCCTCATGTGAAGATAAAGAGAGATGAGCTGTAGGAAGTGTTCGTGGAGAGTCTTTCCCTCCGGGCTCTCTCCTGGGGCTATTTCATGCTGAGCAGCGGTTTCAGCTGCTGGCTGTTGGAGCCTTTTGTCCCAAAGAGAAGCCTTGGAGTTTACTTTCCCAGATGGGGCTCTTAGCCAACGGCCAAACAGTACAAGAATATGGCAGCCCAGCTCCCTTGCTTTGATGTGGAACAAACTCTGAGGCATAATTTACCCTCCAGAGCTCTCCCTGGGATCAGGCTGAGGCCAGAACTTCTGAAATCGCATCCTTGCTCAGCTTCTTCCCCAGCCCGAACCTGCTTCCTCTCCTCCCCAGTGGTTTCTGCCGGGATCCCTCTCCTAATAAATCACTTGCATCAAATCTAATCTCAGGGTGTGTTTCCAACTCAGGTGATTGGTGTTCTGAGGAATTTTTGAGGACTGGCTCCCAAGACGGGCTTGAACCCGCTACTGCCAGGTATCATTTTTTCCCTCTTTATGGCAAGAGACAGCACTCAATTCATGACCATTGCTCCAAAACAAAGTGTGCCTAAGTGGTGATTGCATTCTTTTCTGTAAGGAAATCTGCAAGTGTGCTAAAGGATGGAGAATAATTGGTGCAGAGCCCATGCATCTGTTTAAAGTTCCAGCAGCCTGCTCCATAACTTTGATGTATGTAAGGGGTCACTTTGTAGGCATATAGGCCTGGGAAAGTGACTTTTTGCTTGCCAGAATCTAAGGAGACTTTGAGTCAAGTTCTGCCTCTTAGATTTAAGAGGAGACCAGGAAGCCCTTCTTGTTCCCTGTCCTCTGCAAGGCTCTGTGGCAGGCAGCAGCCTCCCGCTGCTTGTCTGCTCCCAGTTGGAGTGAGCGAGGCCAGCTCAGACTCCAGGACCCAACAGGCCCTGAGAGGAACAGCTTCATCTTCAGGAAATGCACATAATACGTGAGTAAGTTTTGGTCTCTGTGCTTAATAGGAAGGCTTTGACCAGTGTCCATCTCTTCTTTCCTAAAATTTCCAACTGACTTTTGTTAAAAGAATCAAAGCTTGGCCTGGTCCAAAAGAGAAGTCACTCCCAATTTGGGGCCTTATCTGTAAAAGGAGGATAATGATGTCTTTTCTGCTTAAAGGCAGAGGGGTTGGACTAGATAATCTTTTGATGTCCTTTCCTATTCTAGGAATCAGCTCTTACCTCCTTTGCAAGTCAAAAAATGCACTGCATATGTGGAGAGTCAAGCAGGGCTGCCTGAAGATTGTTGCTAGAAGCTCCGGTTGCCTAGCAATGGCTGACAGGGACGGGAACTCAACTTCCCTTCCCCAGGAGCCTGAATTCAACTTCTTATAAGTTGCTGGTTCTGTATTCTTGGATAATTCCCTGCCTAGCGGGCATTTGCACTTACACCACATGGGTGGTGCCTGAAGCCACAAGTTCATTGTTCAAACCCAAGGCCAGCCTCTGGTTTGCACTGAGAGAAGACAGAGGAGTGGGTGGGCAGGGACCTCTGCTGATGCTCAAATCCAAGGTGGGTCCAGCTGTACTGACCTGTGGCCTCTGCGGAGGTGGTGAGAACAGAGGGGATGGTCTCCCCTCTCTGGTAGCTGGATGGTTTCCCAGCAAAGCCCATTTCTAGGCCTATGTTGTGTGACTTCGCCCACCTTGTCTCAGTGTTAAAATGAGTTCAGCCTTATAAGTTAACAACTCTGGAGCGAGAGCATCCTGTTTAACACATGTCTGAAAACCTTGCTGGATACCCGGCTTGGCAATGGTTTTCCTTCACGTAGCTGTTTGGGAGTATTATTAGAGTAAAACAGCCACGGGATCCATAGAAGATAAAAGGGTGTTTTCACCAAGAAAACATCGATGTGCCCCTATGTGCGGTTGGATGTTGGACTCTTGTGCTCTCTCAGGGAGGTAGTTTTGTGGTGTGTGTGTGAGTGTGTGTATCATTTAGCAATGCCCACCAGAGTTCATTGGCCCTGGCTATTTACTGACTCTCACACCCACTTTTGCCTCTGTGGACACCTAGGTGGGGAGACATGTCTCAGTCCACCCTGCAGAACCGGCCCTTGGTCCCGAGATGGAAACATACTTAGCCTCTAAAGCCAGTGCAAACACTCCAGCTGCCTCGGGAGCAGCTGCGGATGTCCCAGAATGCCTCAGGGTGCAGTTGCCGTACAAATCTGTGGTTGCCTGGAGGGGAAGATAGTGAGCAATGAGTGAGTCACACTGCTTTAAACCCAAGACGACATGGAGCAGAGGATTTTCTATTTCTTTTACTTAAACTCTGCCTCGTTCTGAAGAAGATTAAGATGAAGGTAAGGATAAGTTGAGCACCCATGTATCTATTCTGCCATGCATTTTATCTGAGTTTCCCAGTAGCCCGTGCAAAAAGGGAAACACAATCAGTTATAGTTACAGTGTCCACAAGATAAAAGCAAGTCAGTTGTTCAGAGAAGCGTATCTGCAGCTATTCTAGAGACCAGAGAGACATTTATCTTCTGGCTCCTAAAAGGAAACATCGTAGGTGGAAAGTGACAAGCCAATATCACCACCATAGTCAAAGCAATGGTGAGTTTTGTTGCATTGGGATTGGCTTGGAAAGCTCAGGGCCAGTCCATCAGCAATTTCCTTTCCCTTCAGGAAAAAGGGTGGCATTCCCAAAGAGGAAAGACAAAACAGGCTCAGCCACAGTTTGCCTAGAGGGACAGGCCATTAAAGAGAAGTGTTACATTCTCTACATCTAAAATCCACGGAGAGAGTCTGGAACACCCTGAGCGACACCTCTGATACATGAGTGATCACCCCACGGGAGGCTGATCAACTGAGTTTTAAAGGATTTTACAAAGAGAAAGTCCCCATTTGCAGTGTTTGCGAGAGCCAGGGTTTTCATTAAGATCATTTATAAGCCACGAGAATACTCCTTCCTCCTGTTTGTCTGTAGGCTCCTCAAGTGGGCCTATTATTTGGGGGGACAAAGTACCAGGGAGGTTTAAAAGCATCTACTTGTGGAAAATGACAATATTCAAAGAGAACTCAAGGCCCCTCCCCAGCCATAGTAGAAAGAGAGTCATAGACAGGTGTTGAGGACAAAGTGACACCATTGGGAGGCCCTTGGGGCAGGGAGGGGAGCTTCTTCACTTGTCCCTTTCAGCTTGTAGGATGAGAGAGGCGAAACCTCCTTCTACTTGGGAGGAGCTGACATGATCTCCATCCTCCCCAAGACCAGGGGGAGCCCCCGGCTCATGGAGGGAGTCAGGCTAAGGTCTGTGTCTCCTGTAGGTAAAGGGCTTCTCCTGGGTCATGTGAGAGCCTGGCCAGCTGGTCAGGTGGAGCCCAGGCAGGCACTTGGGACTGCAGGAGTAGCTGGTATTGGTGACTGTGTTCTTCCCAACCCCAGAGGAGGCAGTGGCCGGGCAGGATGTATCTCAGCAGGACTCCTGAACCAACCACTAAATTCCAGGCTTGGAAGCCTGAGGAAAGGCCCCTGTGTGAGTGAAATACCCAGAGAGAGGAAGAGATCCCAGAATGCTCGTTATGCTTTACAGACATATATTTCTAGGGGCCTTGGAAAATTCATTATTAAACCTCGGTGCCCAGGAAAGAAGAGTTGCTCAAAGTGCAGTAAATAAGTTTGTGATTCTTAACCTTTTTGTTTTCTCAATCATGGACCCATTTTAAAATACGATGGAACACACTACTCTTCCTTTGAGAAAACACACATGTGCCCAATTTGGGGGGTTTTATGGACCCAGAAAAGTCCGTCCATGGATGCTATTTTTAAATTACTGTAATAAATGGACGAGCTCTTGGCTCAGATGGGTGCAGGTGTGATGCCCCAGTTCTTAATATTAGTTATCCTTATAAGTGACGTGCTGGGGGCAAACCAGGGTTCATCATTATTTGTAAGCCAAAACAATGAACAAGAAAATCGATGGTACATGAGCGGGAAGGAGGTCATCACGTTCTTGTTTATCGTAGGTCTCTACCTTGATAACAAGGCATCATCAGCCTGGAAGAAGGTGGATCTCCCCCGGGGATAGGCCCTGACTCTTTGAGGGAAGGGGGGTGGGGAGCTCCTCCTCCCATGACGTCACTGTGTCTGCGCATGACGTCAGGAGTGTCCACCCACCCGGCCTCGCACTCACCACTCCGGCCTCGGGGTTGCGCTTGCGCCCGTTGCTGAAGGTGGAGGCCAGGGTGGAGGAGCAGCTCTCATCGTACAGGGCGGTCCTGCCGTCGTTGATGGCCGAGTTGATGGAGATGGTCCACATGCTCGAGGCGTAGCCGTCGCAGTTGCAGTCGTCGTAGCTGCCGCCGTCCCCTGAGGCCCACACGTAGATGCTGCCTTTGCCCCCTCGGCCCTGGGGTGGGGAGGGCGACAGGGAGAGATGCGCGGGCTACAGGGGGTCCCGCTGGGGCTGGGGTCGGGGTCCGGGTGGGGACCTGGGCTTCTTCAGCAGCTGAGCGCAAGGACTGGCTTCCTTTCTATCTGCCCTTGAAAACCACTATCCTTCTGGCCGGGCACCGTGAGAATTTTTCTTTTCAGGAAGGATTCAATAGAAAAGTCATCTGAATTTACAATTTAAGCTGGGGATAACAAAGTGAGAAAAACTGGAAAAATCTCCTTAAAACTGACAAATGAACTGCTTTTAAACATAGTACATTCTCATGGTAAAAAGTCAAAGTATATGGAAAGGAAAATGAAAAAACAATCCTCCCGCATGTAATTTTTATATATTCTTTCAGGCATTTTTCAGCAAAAATGCAAATGTACTTGTATATTTATATCAATACTTAGCTAAATAAGATATAAAAGATATTTATAGCTTCTATTTTATATATTATATATATTTCATATAAGTTTACATATATATGTAGATATTGTAAGTATAAAATACACATTTTACTTACAGATTATATACATGTTGGGGTGTGTGTGTGTGTATATAATACACTTTTTTTTTACTCAGTTGGATCATACTAGAATTCTTTTAAGCAAAATATTATATATTGTACCTGTGTAAGGGAACACCAAATATATAAATATAAGAAGAAAGTCTAATATGATCAAGTAAAACATACGGCAAAAATAATTTTAAACATAATGATGTGCACAGTGATTACTACCATATGCTAATTAGTTATAACCAGCAAGCTTAGTTGTAGGACCTACAGTTTGCATTGCTTTTCTGTTTAAACCACTTTCTTAGTGCTTCTGTTTTTCTTTTCCTGTTCTCTGTCTTCTAGGAGAATTCTCTCTGCCTCCACAACCTGGAGTGGCCATTCCTTCCGGCTTCCTATCTTCTGACCCCAGGGGCAGGAGGGCCAGGCTACCCTGCTTTGCCCCGCAGGCTGGGTGGGCGGTGATGAGGGCAGGGATGCCATGTGGCAGGTGAGCAGTAGGTGTCCAGCCTGGCCAGGACTCTGGGTAACCCTCTAGGGCAAGGACAAAAGTAGAAATCATGGCAGAGAAAGTCTGTCCCTGCGCAGCCACCAGCGGTCCTCGGTCCTAACTCAGTGGTTTAAGGGCGGCGACACCAGAGGAGAGAGGATGATTGGGTCACCGCCAAAGTCTCTCTGCCTCCTGACAATGAGAAGTGACATTCTGATTGCTTCTAACAGGACTTGGAGTTAATTAGCCTGTGACTGACTGAGTCAATACATCAACAAAGGTTGATTCAGCCACTAGCTGAGAACTGTCTTCAGCACCTTGATATATCTGTCCTGGAAAACTCTATCCAAACGAGCAACTGCTCTCAGAAACCAGGACACAGAGGGAAACAAACGTATCATCCTTACAGCTGGTGCAGGGGATCACCCTCTCAAGCTGACTCAGATTTGGGCTCAGTGTCGGGGAATGGCACCCTCGGAAAGTGAAACAGACATGAATCAGGGTAAATGGGTGAGGCTGCCACCTGAGGAAACTTCCTCTGAACCAGCCCACAGGTGGGCTGCTAGTGAGACAAGCAACCTCCGCTAAAAGGAAACCAGTGCTAAAAGCGTTCTCAGTTTGGTGTAGGGAGAAGGATCGTGACTCTAACTTCTCCGGCTTTCTCTGTATTCATGCCCCCTTTACTGTATGATTTGCAGCCCTGCCCATCAAGAGGAGAGGTCCGTTTCCCACTGCTTGAATCGGGGCTGGCCTCCTCTCTTGCTTCGGCAAACAGGATGTGGTGGGAAGTGGTGCTGTGCCGGTTCCAAGCATCGGTTTCAAGGAGCCCTACCCACTTCCGCTCTCCCTCAGAGCACCATGGGAACCAACCTGAGTTAGCCGGCTGGTTGATGACCGACAGTCCAGTCAGGTTCACTGTCACAGCCAACAGCTGCCAGACAGGGGAGGCTACCTCAGACCAGAAAGTCTGTAGCTCACCCCGCAGCTGACCACAGATTCATGAGTGAGGCCACCTGAGATTAGCCAAGGATGGCCCAGGTCGGCAGACCTGTAGACCCATGATCAGACTTAAACGGTTGTTATTTTAAACTACTGAGTTTTGGGGAAGTTGTTATGCGGCTTTGCTCACTGATACACAGGGAATAACTGTCAGCATGTTTCTGAAGGGTGAGCGGCAAACATTAGTTTTGTTTTGGATGTAAGACTTGCCCACAAGAATACTTTGATTGCTAGGAATATTAGACTTCATTTTCCTAAGACGTGTGTGTGTGTGTGTGTGTGTGTGTGTGTTTACGTGAGGCAGTAATAATTATATTCTTGCTTCTAATGATTGGGTATCAGCACCAAATAGTCCCTGGCTTCTGGGGAAGATGGGCCACTGAGGAGCAGACCCTAGTTCTGAGGGCAGGTGAGTGGGGAGGGGCATCTATAAGAGGCTGAGAGCCGGATGTGGGATGGGCCAGTTATCAGCATGCCACACTTTCCTGTTGAAATGACACCCCAAGATCCACTTCTGCCCCCCAGCTTCACCTGAACAGCAGCTGGGCTGAAACCAAGATAGAACAACCGCGACCCACATTCAAGCAATCATCCACTGGAGGGTATGACCCATGATAATCGCAGCAAGCACTTCTGCAGCACTTACTGTGTGCCAGGGACCGCTCTGAGCACTTTACATAGTAACTCACTGCATCCTCACAGCAATCCAGCAGCACAATTCATACCAGCCACACGAAGGATAAAATACTTAGGTAGAAATTCAACAAACTAAAAAAAAAAAAAATAGGACTTTGAAATTCTGTGGAGGGACACAGGTGGAAAGACACATCAACACTGTCATGTTCTTGGATAGAAAGGCAGCATCACAGAGATGTCAGTTTTCCCCAAGTTAACTTACAAATTTAACTTGATCCCGACAGATACACTGCATTGATCAAGATACTGCCATGCTGGGCAGTTCAACAGAGGGAATTTTATCCAGGGAGCAAGTGGTAAAGAAGAGCAAAACTCCAAACGGGGTGTGGAAGGGTCACCCACAGATGAGGGGGTAGATGACCCAGAGCCTGCACTGCGCAGGAGTGGGCTTCCTGCTGGGGGGTTCCCGCCCTTACTCTGTAACGCATGCTCAGTGGAGACTGGTGGGCACACTTGCCCTCCATGTTATTCTGGTTGACGATGGAATTGCCTTCTCTGCCTCTCCTGCCACTCCTGCTTTTTTTTTTTTTTTTTTTTTTGTCAAGTGTATTTATATGTGGTGCAATCCCACTTTGAATTCTGTCTTTGTATTAGTATTCTGGAGTATAGTGGGATTAATGTCTCTCAAAAGTTTTCACAAAAAGAGAATTTTTCACCAAGGCACTATTGGCGGTATTTAACCACCGATGTTGTCAACCAGAGGTGATTTTGTGCCCCAGGGGGCATTTGGCACCGTTGGAGACATTTTTGGTGGTCACAACCAGCCTCTATTGGGTAGATGTGTGTGGTGTATGTATTATTAGCATCCAGTGGGTGGAGGCCAGGGATGCTACTAAACTTTCATAATGCATAGGGCAGCCCTCTGCCTCCTGTCCCCACCAGCTACCAACTAAGAATTATCTGGCCCAAGTGTCAACAGTGCTGAGGCTGAGTCTTTGCTCTAACCTATTGGCAAAGGGCAGTGAGTTGGAACTTGCCGATTTTAAAAGCATAGCCTAAAGCAGCCTTTCACAGACTCACATTTCTTAAAAGTTCTTGCCGATTTTGTATTTTGCTTATAATATAAAATAATGGCACAAATTGCTTACCATCGGCTATAGTAAAGTTCCAGCTTGAGGCTGGTGCGGTGGCTCTGTGTACCCTCAGCACATCACCTGTCCCAGGAGGTGAAGATCCCGCTTTGAGAGACTTGGGGCTAAAGTGAGTCGGTCCCTTCATCCTCCCCAGTGCCTAGTGACCCGGACTAATGACCCCCCTCCCCAGGCCCTGGCGCAGTGGTGGTATCTGCCTGCAGACACTGGTGAGGACAGCCTGATAAAGTTTGTATTTCCTAAACACTCAGTTACACTCATTTTTATTTTCCAGTCACTTTGACATCTTATACAACACTGACATACTTTAAAAAAGTTGTATTTTTATAATGAAAACCATATTCATTGTGGAAGAACTGGAATCTAGAGCATGAAGAAGAAAATAAAAATCCCATGTGATCGCCCATGAACAGAAAATCACTGGTGATAAGTTGTGTATTCCTGCCAGTTATATATATAAATGCAAAGTATAAGAACAGGTTTAAGAATGAAATTGGGATCATAAAGTATATCCACCTTTGTGGCCCTGCTTACAATGTATTTCTCACTTACCATTACATTATTAACATTTCCTCACATAATTAAATATTACTCTACGTTATAAGTTTTTATTAGTCTTCTTAAATAGCCATTCCATAATTTATTTACTCTTTTTCTTAGATGTACGTGGAAGGCTGTTTCTAGGTTTTAAAGTGCTGAAATGAACATTATTTTATATATGTCTTTGTATTTCTGTTTATTTCTTCAAGCAGAGTTTTTAAAACAGGGAATTTTGGGTGAAAAGGAATGAATGAAGATTCTTTATCCATAGTGCCATATTATTGCTCTTTATACGGCTTATTAATAATTTATATCTTCACCAGCAGTGCACAAGAACTCCACATCCAGCCTATCTGGGTCAAGATTTAGAATCATTAAAAAAATAGTTTTTCCAGCTTGGTGGACAAAATTCGTACCTCATTGTTTTGAGTTATATATTTTTTTCCACTATCAGTTGAGCTTATCTTTTTATAGCTTTACTGCTCATTAGTATTCTTGCTTTATGAATAAGCACTAAACCCCCAAAGATAATGTCCTGTACCTATTTTTTCTTTCATGATATCCTTTTTATTGATTTGTTAGAGCTCTTTCTATATTAAAGACCTTAACCAAGTTTTTGTCATCTATATTGCATATATATATT